AAGTAACTGTCATACTTTAACTTGTAGCGAGTTCGGACGTCTGAAATGAATTGCAGCCCCGGCCATTGGTGGCGTAAGGGTGATGCTTCTGATTCCTTTAATAGCCTACAGAAAGGCCGCGCATTTTCCCGAAGCCGTTATGTCCTTTTGCTTCATTTGATTGGTAAATTTCGTTTCGGCGTTGGGTTGTCGTACCGATTTCGAAACCTCATCCAAAGCAATGTGATCCTATGATGTCTCAATTTCAAGATAACTTTGTCGATCTGCTGTTAATCATGCAATTTGTAAATTCTTTACATTTCAAACCATCTTCGAAGCGTTAATAAGCCCCTCTCCGGCTTCTGTCCCTCCAACATCGAATCGTGAAAATTTTACCGAATGGATAGACGAATGCGGCTGTAATTATTGTTTCCAAAACTACAACTACCAAAAAAAAGTTTGACAAATGCACACGGCCCTTTGTATACGCATATTGAGACAGAGAGAGAGAAAGCATGTACTAACCTTAGTTCCCATTCTACCCACATTGTAGTTGTAATCGCCATCTGTAGCATTTGAATTGGCCAACTGCTAGACTTTGGCACGCAACATTGAAGGGTACGTAGTTATTCGGAAGTAATTACCACTAGACGATGACAACCTGCCTTTGAGAAGGCTAAATGTTTTAGATTTGCAAGCTTCCATGGCATTCTAAGGAAAAATCATTATTATCATCCGCACATTTAACAGCCCAAATCCCTCGCAATTTACGGTCCCGATACAATCGCCCAAATTGATGACCTCCCGAATGAATGCCAAACACAAAGGTCCATGTCACCAATCGCTTGTTTCTACTCTTTGGTCTGAGCAGGAAGAAACTGGCGTAACACTCAAGTAGCAGTGGAATGCATAGAACCATCGAGACCCTAACCCTTTGGAGAGACACGAAAATGAGCCACATATTCACAACATTGATGCAACCAATACAACCCCTATTTATCTTTCTACCTAAAGAATGGTTAGTCTGTCTTCATTTCCCATTATTATAGTGCAGGAACACATATTGAGTGAAAAGTGATCCAAGAGGCTCACAAATATTATCGAAGTCGTAAAACTATAGTGAGGACCCTAAAACACAGATCTTCCAAAAACGTATAAAAACTCCTTTTATTTTTAATGAGTATTAAAATGTTATTTGTTAATCCCACGTAATAACATGCTCTCGAACACCACCCATCTTCTGGAGCAGTCGTTCAAGCCCATTGGCCCAAGTCCAACAAAAAGTGAACATATAATTTTTGCATTAAAACCACAAACTTTACTCTTCTATCCGCCTAAAAAGGAACACGACGCACGGTCACAGACGTGGAGACACATGCAGTCACACACACATGTGCATAGGGAAACAGAGCAGAGGAAAAAGGAAGAACTGCAACAAAACAGATGTGACGGTGGAGATGGTTACAGACAATCACAGCTTCTTCACATGTACACGTCCCAAGAGTAGGAAGAGCAGACGATCTACCGACCATGCTGCCACAAAGTCGAAGATCATAGCTTGGAAAAAGGCTAGGCGCATCTACAAGCAAAAGGAAAGGGATGAGTGGGCTTGACTGTACATGACTGCTTAAAGTACAAAGGCAGCAAAGCGAGTAAATTATTTTACTATTCAAACTTTGAGAAAATTTGCGCATAGTGTGTTTTCATGGACTCACACTTCTCCAATCCGGATTTTGTCCAAAAGAGACACGCATATGAGCACTAATTTTTAGTTGCATAAAATCACCTTTAAAGGTCGGTTTTAGAGGGAAGTGGAAAATCAAATTCACCGCAGAGAGGTCTGCTCCCCTCCTCCGTCTCGGCAACTCTCATCGTCCACCATGTAACAATTGTTTTCTTTCAGGGGAATATTTCATTATTAAATCCACAAGTCCAATTATGTGATCAAACTCAACGACCTGAATGGTTAGTCAATTTCATCAATTGCGTAAGGCAAAATTGTGAAGCATGCAAACAATCGTCATCGTTACAATTTACCAGCATAAGATGAGGGCTGAGAAGCATTTTACTCAAGGTCGAAAATTTATCGAAAACTCAAAATAAAATTAAAAAAAAAACATTCATTAATAGATGAAGTGCCCAAAAGCAGTTAAGACGTCGTCACAAACGCTGATCTCTGTTGACGCTCGCTGATAAGTTCCCGGGTGAAACAAGAACAGTCAACGTGAAATGCTAAAGAATAGTAAAATTTCCAACTGACCTTTGTAGACGTGTGTGGAAACATCACGAAGGGCCAATAAATAAGCATGGATACAATGCCTCAACTCAATGAAGATGTAACGTTGTCATAAGGAGGAATGAAAATTTCACCTAACTTAGGTGTGAAGGATGATAGTCTCAGTTAGATGTAACGACTAGGAACGATTTTATCCGTCAATTACTCAAACAGGAATGGTGAGGTTTGGGTGGTAACTCCAGGGGAAGTTTCTTGTAACATTGATTCCGTTGAGGAATGTTTCAAAATCAAATTTAACAGCGAGAAGTTGAGGACATTCGATTTGACGACCGGAATATAATCCTAAGAAATCGCTTTTCTTTTTGACACCTGAATTTTGGTACGAAAAAGAAATAATTAACTACGAACCCAGTAAATCGGATTACAGAACAAGACAAACGGCAGCTACTGTTCAGCTGCTTAAAGCTATTAAGGTACATTTTGTAAATTAAAATGGGACCCCACGCGTTGCTAATTCAGCGTTGAAAGTGCTCCCAATGAACCATTAATGGAACGAATGATCCAAAAGTTAGGTAACGCTATCGAATTGAGACAATGAAGCGACGCATTCATATGGTAAACCAATTTAGTAAAAGACACTTTCTGCTGATAGAGGGACGTAGGTATATTACATTATCACAATTCTATGAGGCTCATTGAAGCGACTTGGGAGGTTGTTACATTCTTGTAAAACACAAAATATCAGATGAAAGTGGACCCCGCTTTTAGAAAATGAGAAGCAGTGATTACAGAGGGAGAGGAACGGAAGGACAGAAAGCCTCAACTGAGGTTAGGATGCGGAGATGAACTCTTCTTAATAGAGAATGCGATGATGATGTCAACGGTTGAAGGCAGCAATAAAGAAAGTTATGACAAGAGAACTCGAGAATGATTTTATCTAGTGTGACGATAGCCAGTAATCATGTGAAAAGTCGTGATGTGCTGCTGCAGCTGCAGTACACATACCTGCGCAATGCCCCATTAGAGGGGAGCACAATAGCCAGTGGCAACAGCAATCAACCATTTGAAAGGTTGCAATCCTCAATATTGCGACTAGGCTTTACTAAGGGAAACAACGTTCACAATGCTGTATATGTGTGGGCTATTCAGCAACTTGAACTAAGAAAACACTTGAGCGAAGGCAAAACGGGATTTAAGCAGCCATTACTAACTCTGAAAGGCTGAGTCAAGCATGGAAGACTAGGTATGATGTAAGACACAAAAAAAAATATAAAGTGCTCATGAACGCACAGTTAAGACATCATGAATGAATGAGGTCTTCGTTGACGAGTTGATGCCTTCGCTCCACCCCTTGTTTGAAAAGCGTTGAGCACATCTAAGCCCTCGAGTAAAGGTACCGCGGTTACGTAAAAGATGGTTAAAACAATATTCAACAGGATAGAAGGACTTTGCTACAATGCTCCTAACTCATTAACATGCAGTCTCCAGCCTTTAGCACATACCTTGAAGATGTAAATGTCAGGCGTTGCAATTCACAAAACGAACACGAACACTTGCATAAGTAAATCTGATACCGCTGCCGGATAGTAAAACACTGCCTTTCGGCAAATAACAATTTCTTTCTTTGGTTAAATTATTTCAGATTCTCAAAACTACCGTCAAATCTGTCATTACGATGTAGATGGTCATTATTTGTTATCGTGAATGGGAAAAGGGAAGGAAACATCGCATTTGCTATGCTCAAGGGGATAAACAAATTCAGACCTATAATTAACGAAGTGGGAATATCAGACAGCAATGGGACAACAGGGGTGCGAACTGCCGCAGTGTTATTATACCATATTAGTATTCTTAGCTAAGAACTTTGCACTCGAAAAAGAATTTGGTGGCGTGTAATATTGCAACGGTGAAAAGAGAAGAAGAATGGAGGCAACTGGAGAAAGGCGATGGAAAGTAGTCGTGCCAAATGAGCATTTGCGCGCAGGCAGCGCTGGATCAGGACATGAATAGCTAATAGTCGTGCCGGGAGAGAAAGTAACAACAAGGTCAATTGTTATGCAATCTGCCCAAGTATGAAAAAGCCAGTAGTATAGAATTCCAATGAAATAATTAAAACCATTGACACAATAATGATAGGGACGATTGTGACGGATCTATCAGACGCATGCGCCTCAATCGTAGTGACTGGGAAAAAATAACACTACGAGAGTAAAGCGAAACCTAATTAGCACATGACATTTTGACAGTTGCCAGATATCTACCAAGGAAATAAAATATTACCACTTGATAAGAATACTCATTTATGACAGTAGGAATTCACTTCCATTACCCAATCGCAAAGGATATTTAAACAAACAAAGTAAATCTATGGACATTTTGGTGAGAGAAAAAGTAGGGGGGAAAGAAAGGATAATTTGCCTAATGGGATGCCACCATTCATGCATTTGGAGGCAATTCATGGCACACATGAATATAATGCTCGAATAAAAGAAATAATGTAGATTTTTAATCAACAAAATGGTATTTCGATGTTTTTCAGATGATGACAGAAGTCTCAACTCCCAATGCACATGAAAGCGACCAAAAGAAGGCAAAGCGTGTAATTCGAGAAGAAAATTAACAGCTAAAATGGAATTTTCTATTGGTAATTGACAGAAAACTCAATGGCGAGAGAAGTCTCAGTCCAACACCGCAGAAAATGAGCACCACAATCAAAAATAAAAGATTTTTGATAAAAATAACCGTCTGATCAAGGACTGTAACCAATTGTGATATGCTGTTCTGTTCAAGCAAAAGCAGCGATGGTCACTAGGCTTACACTGTTATCCAAGAGAACCAACTCCAGACTGTCGGAGAAAGCACCAAAGGCCAAAGCAACGACTCCAGCGGTGACAAAAACCAGACCATTCAGTAGGGGCCGATTCTCGAACAGAGACTCTCGAAAAGGGTGACCCTCGTAGTTCACCGCGATCGTAGAAATCTACAAATATTGCCAATAATACTCCACAAAGAATCGCACTTGATTTGCCGAGTTTTTCACGCATTGATGCAAGAACAGTTAAAAACCTTCAAAATGTCAAAAAATACTTATGTCAGTTGAAGAGGTTTACAAAGAATAAGAGATGTTATGATTTTGGCCTATAGGTGTTTTCAAAAACACCAATGCAAGTTTAAGAAAAGTTGGCTTTTTGATAAAATGAAAACACCGAGCCTCTTTCGCGTTTTGGTGTGATCGACCAAATAACCATCGCCTAAACGCTGATTTTGGTTTATGCATTAGATAAATTTATTATCGTTGCCAAATTGGAAGGAGGTTTGGAGTGCGACACAACGCAGAAAGGCAAAATTAGCCGAGCAAGATTTCGACTATTTTTCCGAAATATGATTGTAAATTCCAAATGAAACCATTATCAATTTCGTAGATTCCATTCCCAGGTAAAAAAGTTCCGATTTCAAACACAATATTCTATTTCCCGAATGAAACTACCTCCATTTGGGCGCCCATAAGACAAAAAATGGTTCCTATTCAGCCCACGTAGCACGTTCGCAAAATACTAACTCTTTTCGACATTTCATGGTCCCCTGACATTTATTGCTTGATCGTGAGCTTGTTCCATCAAATGCCAAATTGCACTTCCATTCCGAAAAGCACCTATCAACCGTGAATGCGCGATCCAGTGAGCATCACGTGAAGAAATTCCAGGATCAACCAAAGTAATGTGGTGAGGATGCATTTGCAGTTACAGCGGCCTCGCCTATCTCGCACTGTATAATGTGTACAACTGTATTAAATGCATTTCAGCGTTTTGAGTTAGCCTGCTTCCAGCTTCATTCAAAGAAAGTGTTGAGCGGAATAAGAGGAATGGGTATAGCAGTTACTTTTAACAGCATGCTTAGCATTGGCGTACTCAAGTGGCTAGCTGGTGGGCTTCACTATTGAGTAAAGAAATGGGAGATAAATGAAAAAGGCCTGGCATTTTTACATTCCGGAAAAAAGTTATCCACAGCAAGATCTCTACCTTCGTCTATAACATAAACAACAGTCATTGTTTAAGTACTTCATCAAAACAATGTCAAAAATTATGGGAAGAAAAAAGCGCATTCATTTTTCACCCATAGTAAAGTAAACTGAATGAAACTAAACAGCCAAATCACCCAGTATTGTGCCAAAAGACAGTAATTATAATGCTGGATTGTCACATGCCAGAAGTATTCACTCATTCTGCTACAGTGAGCTAACTACGTGATCTCCACAAGTCTTTAAAATGATCCGTGAAGAGTGCACCAAGCTCCGTCAACTCCGTGAACTGCTCCATCCACCCCTATTAAACAGACGTACTACCTGTATGTCAAAGCAATCATTTGCCGTTTGATCACCAGCCTATCACTGCTTTGATCAAAATAATACATCGTTAATCGATCTGAATAATTTCATATGAAGATAAAATACATTTATCTGAATACAAATAATGGCCTATTGGTGGTACGGTTCTTTGAGTAGCGCACTAAGCAAAGATCAAAAGCGCGCAATTGCACGTACTTGTAAGGCGGTAGAGATAAGGTACACTGCCGTATTGAGCACTGTCGGTTTGAAATCAGCATAGATATCAATTAATTCACCTTCGGGTCTAAAATAACCACAAAATGAAAATCACTTTACTAACAAAGTAGGCGATTTCAATAGGACAAAAGTGAGAAGACTTGTCAATTTTGCAAAAGCCATCAAAGGAACTGGCTAGACGAAGATATCCCAGGTACTTTTTATATTTTGTGAAAATAAACCATCCGTAGAACCAAAGCTAAACCTTTTTCAGCGTTGCATACACTAACTAAAGAGTGTTTGATTTAGAGATCGGAAAAGGCTGCAGGCGGAATAATGAGAGAGAGGAGGACACAAAGTAGTTTGTGGAATTTTGTCTCATATCGAAAAAAATAATGAAGACAAAGAATACGAGAAGACAATGAAGTAGCTAATAAAACAGTCAGCATAGGTGGAGACATTCAGTCGTTGGGAGCCAAGACAAAGCATAACTTAGGAAAAGGCAAGAGGGTTTCCTGAGCTTTCAAGTTGTAGAGCACATTATTGTTCAGTCTAAGTCGTCTCAAAAGCACGATGCGGTAAGCCCTTAAATTCATTTATAAACAACACCTTGTTGGCGACGATTCCGCACAAATTATGAGCTAAAGTACGAAAGACATTTAGATAGACCAACAAAATGTTATCGGTCTAGTCAATCACAGGTCATAAAATTCAATACTGTATCAAAATAAGATTTTAAACCAGATAAACTACTGGCCAGTGACATACGAAATAGAAGGAGTATGCAAATAGGTTAACAAGTTTACATACTTGAGCATAGGAGTAGCTTTTATTAAGCTAATAATCGAAAAGATGTCAAAGAGAAAGAGGTAAGGTTTAACAAAGTGACAATGCAAAGAGAGTGCAAATTGACATTGGCACGATGCAGCATGCAAATATACACATCACTAGATCCAGCACTAGCACAAAAAATCGGGAAAAAAATTATATTCCTTAACCTATGAACTGACGCCAGCGAATACACAGGCGAAGTGGAGTAAAAAAGTTCGTTAATTTTGGGAGAACTTACAAAGGCGGCATTTGAGCCTCAGCAGCATTCATGAGGGTGTAGAGAGCAGTAAAGTGGACAGCAAATTGTCCACCTACGGTGAGGAGGGTGTAAAGGTTGAAAACATTCGGCAGAGGGCGTCGTGGTGACAGCTTCTCCAGAGGCTGAAGGGAACCAGTGGTAAATGGAAGGCATTAGCCAATTCTGCACGAGTGGCCTTGACAAAAGTGTCGATTAAGATGGCACATTTTCAATACGAATAGGTTCGCTTGAATTCCATATTTTCAACCTATCCTAAGACTGTTTCAAGTGAAGGTTAACGGAATTCCTCCACTTGTTTCACTTAATTTGATACCCATTCCATAAAAAAATAAGTCAAGTCGTAAGATCTTTTCATAGATCTTAAGACAACCCCCAAGCTTACAAATATTTACACACAGGCTTTGCCATTGTGACAAGTGACTTAGTCTTACATCAAAATGGGCTACGGTATTACGTGTCTAGTGTGCATTCCCTTCGATTTTAGCAAGCACTGACGAAATTTCCGAAATAAAAACTAAAATTTCCCCATTATGAGCACTTCAAAGCCACAAAGGTGGAACAAATTTAAGAGAAAACATATGTCTGGTTTAAATGCGATGACAGCAGTGTGGGATCCTTGTGAGAGGCAAATTTCAGACACCGCATAAAGTTGGAATTTGTCTATAATATCTAGTAAGCCTTTTAATATACCTTCAAGCTAAAGGCGATAAACGAATTTGGGCTTGGCACGAAAACTCACTGTACCGGTAGGTTAATGTGAAAGGGATAAAGTCAAGAGATGTTGCCTACCCAGTTGGGTGGCTTGTTTTATTTTTGTTTAGTGAGAAAAATAAACAGAAATCAAAACCGTAATCGGTATTACAAAAGCGACTAAGCTAGTGAACAGCGCGTTCAGGATAGAACCAATAGCATAGTCGACACGTATACAACCCCGAAAATAAGATCAAGACATCGATCCATGATGGAGTCCAAGAACACGAAGTCTAGGAATGCAATAAGTGGCAAGGGGAACAACTGGGTCGTGAAGACTTGAAAGACATAGTGGGTTTCATATTAAATTTGTATCTATTCAACTGGTCCCTTTGATGACTATGTATGAAACGTTAAAGTATTTAAGAACAGCTAAAAAGGAGTTCAAATTTTCGGTTAAATATTCCCGTTACCAATTTTGCATAGACTATGCGACAACAATTGCATTAACGTAACATGTTTAGTAATGCTGGCACTAGAACAACCCACATTCTCTCCCTTTCACCCTCCCACTCCTCCTCTCCCCTTCCCTCTCCTCCTCTCCTCTCCTCCCACCCTTCTCCTCCACTCTACCTTCTCCCTCCTCCCTTCCCACTTCTCCTTTCGCCTCCCTTGCCAATGACCTCAAAAACTCAACACCTACACCTCACACTACGTGAATTGCTATCCACCCAACAGTTTTCTCCCTTCCAATCACTAATCCCACCCAACCTCACGCATAGCTGTCTTATGCCAAATAACTCACTCACACTGCTCACAACACCCAACTCTCCCGCCTCAACCTCCCCCTCCACCTTCCCCCAATCTCACTCCAATGCATAAACCTTCAATCAGTCTCCACTTACTGCGATGTCATGACTTGCGAAGTCTTCCAACATGACATCCTGCCAACACAATACCTTCTCTCTCTCTCTCTAACTCCCTCCCTCCCTCCCTCCCTCATTCCCTCACCGAATGCTCAAACACTACGCACACTGCATCTGTCAACTCTGTCACCTCGGTTTGCCTCCACCACACTTGGTGCCATTACTCCTCCCCCTCCATACCACAAATTGAGGTTCGTCTACCACACCACGCATCACCTTGTCATTCGCCAGCACAATCGCATTCTTATGTCAACTCTTTACGCCTCCATATGACACACCAACTTGACGAGGAGCCTCCATGTCACTTGAGAAACAGGTGGAATAGCACGTTATGCCAAAGTTTGATGTCAGCGGACTGCCGCATTATCAACTGGCCGTGCTCTACCACGCATGCATACAACAACGACGTGAAGTCGGCAAGCCTCGATCGGTTACAGCATGTCACAAAGTGCAATAGAAGGAAATTAGATGTGAGAAAAAGAGGTAGGGAAATGTAGATAAAGAAAAAGAGGTCTTGTATCTAAATACTGTTGGAATTCCACTTAGAAAGGACTTTTAAAATAGTGAGTTATTGGTGCTAATAATGCAAGATGCTAGTCAACGTGGTTACAAATTGAGCTTCACACAATTAATAAAGGCCTTTCGATTTCAGTAGTAACGCATCCAGTAAAAAGCTAATACCTTAAAGAAGAAGCGCTAACGCAAAGGCAGAAAATTTTATTGAAGTGAAATAAGTCCCAATCGCTATGAGAAACAAGGATACTCTTTATTTGGCTCCCATAAAACTTGCGTTGTTACTAATTCAGGCTCATTGCTAGTGGATGAGTAAAGCTAAATCTAGGAGGAATGGAACGTCTGATATTAAAGGTAACATTTGAAACGATTTAAGGTGTTCGCGATTTCGCCAATTCGCAATAGCTGCCACCTTTTCCGATCTCAATAATTACGAAAGACAATGAAACTCCCATAAAATAGCACATTTAGCTACACAGTGAGAGCCGAATTACAATTGCCAGATTTGGGCTAGCAGATAACCAACCATTTTCCAGCAAATAAGGATGCTTCCGAGGTAATGTCAAGTGGATTCAATATCGCAGCTCCACAAAACTAATAACAAGCTGATGGTACATTTATCTTGAACCTATCACGCCTATCTTTACGATTTTAGCCAGGTCGACTAACCACTGTTTTGGAATTCAAAAGACAGTAACTGTGACACAGGAATGAGATGACCCAGAAGCCAGCCAGGCACTTCAGGTGTCCTATCAAAAAGCAACGCAAAAAGCCTGAAAAACATTTCGGCACCGCCTTCTTGTACAACTAACTATTGTATAGAGATTTTCTACTGCAAATAAGTTAGTCCAATTCTGTTTTTATCCACGCAGGACAAAATAAATAATGAAAAATATTTGTTTCTCCGAAAAGCATCATAATTTATCCTCTGTTGCTAAATAATTGACCAGTGGCGACAAAAAACGTCGAATTCGGTAAACAACGAATCAGAAGAATAGGAACACAACCGACAGAAGTAACTTCGATCAAAGTAATGCCGCTTCGCCCGTAGTATTTTGTTAAATCAACGCACCTTATAAGCAACTATGTATTCAGTTTACAAATAACGAAGTTAGGTAAAAAGCCTTGATGAATGCCTGAACATTGTCCACTTTATGGGCTGTATGATGCGTTTCCGTGGGTAACAAAGATTGAAAAAGGGTACCGTCAGGCGTCACTAAAGTAATACGGCAAAGAGCAAGGACGAGGAAAAAAACGAAAATCAAACGAGTTTCTGCGACAAAAATGCGCTAGACAATGAATGAAATCGACTTTTGCCTGTCAGGTACATTGCATTACAACTTGCAAATTCTAACACCGTTGAAAATTCCACTAGCCGCATTGTAGTTTGAGCTCAATCATATCTCCAATGCTTGTGGGTGCACAACCTAGTGATCAACAGTTCTTTTTGCTTATCCGGTTCTCAGATTACGAGATGTGGCATGAGTGTGTCGCCGCGTATTCCAAAGTAGCAACTTTAAGAGGAATGAAACGAAGAAACCATGAAATTCCCGCAGTTACAAACCCAGTAAAGGACGTCTACATAATTGAAAACATCCAATAAGGAGTTCCGAAACAGAATCTTATAGCTATCAAACAAATGAAGTAAAACAATAGGGGTGATGCTGAATTAATGGAGCAAATGTTTGGACGAAACAAAAAAATTGTCAAATAACCCTGCCAATAAGACTTCACTTCCATTAAAGGCTGCCAACTAGTGAGGAATTTGTAGAAGAAATATAATGCGTTCAGCAGTCAGAAAGGCTTAAACTCAAAAGCATGAACACCTTCACTTCCTCTTTTGAATCACATTCAAATCCGAAGTACTAATAAAAATGCCTGGTAAGCTGACTGACCTTGGAGCGCGAGATAAAGAGAAAGCAACCAGTCATAAGGAGGGCTTGGATAGTGGTCTGGCAATCGGAGATCTTAAAACCTTTCAGAAACAGCACCGAGAGACTGTAGGCAGAGATAAGGCAATTGATGGCGAGGATCTTGAACATCTGCAGTGTTGTCACGAGAGTGCAGCGACCCTGACGAATTATGTGGCAGACTAAAGACAGAGAAGAGAAACATGAAGAAATGAAGTAGGACCAAAACGTTAGCCATAAAGGCATCAATAATCCCTGCTTAATGGTCTTAAGCTGAATTATTCGGTATCGGTGCCTACACAGAGAAGTAAGTCAGTGAAAAAATTAGGGCCAAGTCAAGCTTATTACGTACAAGGACTGGCTACGAATACAAAACAAACATCTACGCCCTTCATCAGTTTGCGAAGGAGAAAGGGGAAAGCAGAAGTCTTAGCCACACCAGTCAAGCACTTGTTCCCAGATAGCATGATTTTCTAATTAATGGATATAGTAGATTGCGTTGAAACGACCGTGAATGGCAAAGTAACTGACATCCAAGGAATGAGAATACCTCTACTTGTGATACCAATGAAATTCATGAGAAAGATGTAAATGCGGAAAAATTTCTTCGTTTACAGATCGGCAAGTCATGGAAATGTGAAAATAAAAACTCCATCTCACACGAAAAAGTCTGCATACTAAGCTCAATTTCGTGTAAATACAAAGCATAACAACGCGTCCGTTAAGTTTGTTAGTGTAATTTCATCAAAGGACCAGAACACTGGTCATGACGAAACGCGCAGCGCTCCAAAAGCATTTGAAGTCATGAATGATAGTAATGCGAGATAACATTTAAAAACCTTTGCGCTTCCTTAGTGCTAGACACAGTTTAAGACTGTGAGAATTCTCTGCGAGCATCGAGGCTGTTTCACTGGATCCAGCTTGAACTAAATTAAACATCAGGTAGTGGGAACAGAGAATATTAGAAGCACCAAATGCCGCACCGGTAAGAAAAAATGAAAAAAAAAACCGGAAGGTCACTTTTCGCTATTGGTCTCACACCAGGATGAGGAACCAGTATCAGCATTGGAGTAAAACCTGCGTGGCTAGTAATTCCCTGCTTTAAGGAACTACAGCGTCGGAAGAGGAAGAAATTATTATCAACACTTGCATGACATATTACAAGTCAGATCGCAGGAGAACAGTACTTGTGTGTGTGTTTTTTAAGGAGGAATTGTGCCGCTTTGTAGCACCAAACAGGGTGCCATGCTGGGAAAAGCCTAGTATTTCGACTTAGGCTAGACAAGAAATTGTCTGATTTCAACACAGCCCTAAACGCTAAATTAAAGGTTGTTGCAAAGTAAAACTTCATAAACGCCGCTTGGATGAGTAAAAAATTGTTTGCCTCAAATTTACCCAAAATCTACCAAATTCGAAGCCTCAATTCAGAATTTACTTCCATGAAATGGCTAAACTGGCCTCGAACGCGAGAGTAGAAAATAATCAAAATCTGACAACAAAGACACAATTTGAGCGTAAATGAGGAAAACAATTTGCAATGCAATTGAGGTTGCAAAAAACCATCTTGACAGCAGAAAGAAGGCTTTTCTTATTAACCATTGTTCAAAAGTCACCAGCTTTGTCTAAATACCAAGGCATCAATCAGATTATTTGTATTCATTTTGCTATTATATAAAAAAGAGCGTGATAGGAGGAACTGCTGGCAAATCATAGGTATTTTGCAGTACTTTTAGGCACGAAGTAGGGAGGAGTGTAGCGGGAGATCGGGAAAAAGCAATTAAAAAATAAATGAAGTGACTGGTACTAAGTTCTCAAATTTACAAGACTGTCCAAATTAACTAACCTCCAATGGCGGAGGACATCTTGGCTGTAAATGGCGCAGCAATGCTGGCATCACCCAGACGTACAACCGGGACCTCGTCCTCAGCACCAAGATCCTGGAGAGCCTTAGAGTTACCGAAAGGCTGATGGCGTCGACCAGTATTCGCTTGTGTCAATGGTAATGGTAGTTGATGCGGCGGTTTGACGCCATTTTTCGCCGGCATCATGAGCGGAGTCTGATTCAAGAGCGCAACGCCTAAAAAGATGGCCCATGGATGACCCACTAACTTAATTCAAAATTTGGTAAAAGGGACAGAATGAGGGTGCAATATTAAAATTATTTCAAACGAGCTGATCTTTCGCCGTATTTAACAGTCTCACGCTGATTTCAGTTCATCAGCACTGTTTCTTAATCTTCAAACGGTAATTCCACAATGCCGCTGCAATGTCAGCCAGAAAGCATTATCAAAGGGACACAAGGAAGACGAAGCGTTAGACTTGGGTTAAGTTTCACTGAGTTGGTACAATCTGTGATTTCTCTACCCTATTTATTTCTAAAAAAGAAGGAGCGATGTTGGGAAACTTCAAGATTAAATGCTTCAAAAGTGTTAGTTCCATCAGGTGTTAACAACCTGAATCAAATCACACCGTCTCAGCTATAAACCATGCTCAGTCGGCGCTGCCTCTTGATCGGGGTTCGGATTTGTCTGTCGCGAGTGCATCACACTTCCTATTTTTGACAAGTGGAATCACCTACTCGACTAACAAATACAACCCGAATGACTAATTCCTTAAAGCTAGGTCATAAAGGACTGTTTAAGGACCTTGCTGCAATGAAAATTGAGGAGCAAAATGTCCCTGAAATGGAAAGTTCTTCAAAACGCCCACGTGAGAGTGCAAATAAAAACGAACGGCGAGTAGCCCTATACATCCCAAAATTAGCTGTAAAGGCTAGACCTAGCGGTTTGCGAAATCGATAGCTCAGCCACAGATGCAACAAGTAGGCGTGTAAACCGAACTGATAAATATATACAAAGGGAAGAAGGAATAGCAAACAAATGGCTGCTGCCATTGACATAGCACATTCTTGTTAGATGCCAAATCCAGTACTAAAGCGATGAAGCAGGGCACATCGGGACTGAGCATTAAGATGGCGCAGTTTTAAGTTCAACGAAATTCCCGACAGGCCAAATACTGTTACGAGATGAGGGCAGGTAAACAAAAAAGCTGTAAACTCGGGTGCATTTTTCATGCTCGTCACAAGACACAAAGCCCGGTTTGCAGCTAATGTAGTGCTAGCAATTTACAAGCAACACTTTTTACGCCGCATCAGTGAAAACAGGATCTAGGGATTTCACGAGCTGATCAGTTTAGGTTGAGCTAGACAGATTATGTCTGAGCATCGCTGTCAGCATCTGTGTTAGATAAAGGAATAAAAAGGGATGCAAGGATTTCAAGCTGGTACCGTTGCCACGACCATTGAATGGAACTCCGATGGGAAGAAGTTCGATAGAAGGGAAGGGTTCAGGGCTTAACCGCACCAGACTTAAAAGCGCCACACCTGAAAGGTCAGGTTATACACAAACAGTAGAAAACCATCACGACAATCACCCATCAAGTAATTCATCATGAGTTGAATGAAAAATTTGTGGGATAACAAGGTTTGTGAAGTGCCCAAAAATACATTTTAACGTTGTATTCCAAGATTAACGCTACCACTCGTTTAAATTATTGTCCAAAATATAAGTACAAACACAGGTTATTCTGCGATACAGAGAGAACACTTCTAGGAGGTTTAAGCATGAGTCCAAGTAGAAAAAAGAGTATTGAATGAAATAAACTTTCGCTATCAGCAGGATTAGTTAATCAAGTCTAAGCAACCGTTACAATTAACCTAAAAATTCATACTTTCATAAACAATGTAACAAACATTTGGATTACCTCTATGTGCCGCGGAAACGTTTACACCTTCCTTTGGGAAAAAAAGGACAAACCCTTAGAAGGCACTTAAAACCTTACCACCTTCTTGCCAAGCCATTAATCTGAACCTGTACTATTTCGGGAGGTTTTCTCACTATGTGAACTTCATAACCCAGAATTGCAGTAAATAGCCTACGGCCAAAACACTCAAAAATGTGTCTCAGTGACGGACTATTTGGTAACAACCGAAAACACAAAGACTATCTGCTAACCTATAAAGATGCTACTTTGTCTCATTAATTCCGGTTAGATTAATTATGTTACCATAAAATTCCCATTCACAATTATTAAGAACAGTGACAATGGAACACCATCAGAATCTGCTAATTAAATGGTTTTTGGTGGTTAACTTGCCCAAGCTCGTAATGGCTGCATTATGATCGCGGCTTTTCCGCGGCCGTTTTCATGAAAAGGCCAGTCTAATTATTGGTAGGAGATAATTTCCCAACAGACGCCAGGTAAATAAGTACTGTTAATGCACCAAAGATTGGGAACTTAATTCGACTGAAAAAGATTTAGTATTGACTAAAGCTAATCGCAAACTGGTAGTAGAGAGTTCTTAATAAATAACACAATAGGTGAGGAATGGGACATTCTCCATAAATGGGAATAAGCTGATTAATTAAAACATTGTTAGTGTAAAACCACCTAAAATCACCTATTTTCATATTTCAGTAGGTGAAATGCAACGCGTACTCGACCAGATTTCTTCCTTGATAAGTCCCTTTAGGTTAGTGCACCTTACCAACAGTGAACAGCCTCTATCCTGGCTAAAGTGCACTCTGAGACGATGTTATTTCGACATTATCGCCTAATTACAGCCTTGTAGTCTAATTTTAGCAATTTTAGGACAAAATTCGTCGGGCCAGTTATGAGGGTACTTTGGCCGCATGAGTGGAACGCATGCAACCACCATCGGTGGAAAATCAATTTAGGAAAGGTATAGTGAACTCATCATCCCTGTAGGAACTAGAAGCAAAAACCAATTACGATCTACTTGGCTCCATATTGTAATTACTCTGTCCTTTTCCTCAGTCATAATACTTTGGTCAGTTTAAAGAAATCGCTCATCCTTCTAGCCATAAAATTGCATGGTTACTGTGCGTTTAACAAACAGATTTCCTACTGACACCCCATTTATAAGGATAAAGTAGCAGCAAGATCATTGAACTACTTTAACCACTTTAATCCGTATTTTAAAGAATATCAGGATCATTCGGGAAGTCAACAATCACATGTCAAAGAACAGAACAATCACTTTTCAGATCCTATTCCCGACTAAGATGCCAAAAGTATCAGACACAATTGAGCAGGAATAAACGATTAATGGAACCAATTATTGCAAACAACATTCTCCACTAAAATGATGTCGTCCCCATTAGCTCAAGATATCAAAAGGCAAAGCAATGCGATCAGATAAACTACTATAACAATGAGGCAAGAGGACAACTCACCGACATGCGCCTGTTTGAGAGCTCCCACATCATTAGTGCCATCACCACACATTAGAGTGGTATAACCTAGCTCACGCAGACTGGCGAGTACAAACTCCTTTTGAGAGGGCGCCACTCGGGATAGCACCTTCGTTTTGGGCAGCACACAATTCAGTAGACTTCCACGGCTACCGGCGGACGAGGAAATACGACGAAGTTCCTCAATCCCGTCTCCGGTAAGACAAAACTCGTATTTCCGCGTCAGTTCCTGTATCGTTGACACAGTGCCGCAGGGGACCACCACCTTATCATCTGCTGACTGCCAGTGCCAACTATTATCTGCATTAACAATGAAGAAGAATTGTATTTCCTTTAACCATGCAATTTACAGGAACATCTTAGAGCATCTCGCAATGTGGTCTTCGCTTATAGACTTGGAGCCCTCACTCGCATTCCCAACATTACCAGCCTTATAAATCTCCTAGTCTTTTAGCTATAGGCATTTCAACCATGTAGTACGTTAATAATGTATTTTCAACCATAACGGTAGTGTTTCAGCGTTTAACAATGCTAACGCATTTATAAATCGCTCAAAATAGGAAGCAGATTGGCTTGCGTGTACGCAGTACACGCAGTTATTAGGAAGCTCGTTGGTTTTGAACAGGCGCATTGTTGTTGTGACAGGGGCGATTATAACAAAGTACTTTGCATGTATGTCTGCATTTAGCTGTGGACCAACACCTACCGCATAAATTTTGTTCACGAAGGTGGGAGAATATGCCTTGCTGAAAGATATGTTTAGGTCTGGAGATGGTGATAAGTAAACCAAACATTCTTTTTCAATGTGATCGAAAAGTTTGGATCACTACTCCTACAGTGCAACTGCAAAGGGATCAATTTGACAAACTCTCTGTAAGGAAAACGTAGCCAATCGAACTTGCCACTTGTTGGCATTTTCTCTGGACAGAGCTTGCAAAACCGCATCATACTGCACGAACCAGCGATTGTAGAACGATTAATGGACAAACATGTTCATTCACGCACAGAGGCAGTGACATAGGGATGGCTGAACAGTAACTTCATCCTTTCAACCAAGATGAGAACTCGCTGATTTTGGGGTTATGTAACTCCATGATTTACCACTTTTCTACTAAACCCTAATATAATCACCGAGGAACACGTAAAAAAGAAAATTTTTCTAGAAATCGAGGAGTTAGTCACCCTAATTCAATGTAAATTTGGCCAAATGCAATAAGGGAAATGAGTTTATCCATGCATTCGAAAGAATTGAGCAACAGCATAAAGCATACGTGAAACGCACTGAAAAACTGCGGGGAGATCAAGTACTTTCAGACTTTTCAAACAATACTGCATCAAAAAGCTACCAATGACGCTCCTTGAAACTCAAAAACCAGCAAAATTCTTGAAGTGGGGAAAGTCTACGAACGAAACTGTGAACAGAATCATCCAAAAAATAAGAAGCTTCCTATTGTTTTATAAAAATAATCGAAAACGATCTACACCATTCCTTTGTCGACTGATGAAACTTGTGTCAACTCATGCAATTCATAAGCTTTGAGTAAGCGAAAGAGCATTTTTTTGCAGTACGAACAAATTGAATGGGCTTTCGGAAAATTGTAAAGTCTCCTACGCTAAAATAAAGGTTAATCAAGAGAATTCTTCGAACAGTAACAAAACCCCAAATCTTCCCAAGAAAACCACTGCTTGACCACTTGAACCTCAATAGGTCTTTTGAAAAGCCCATTATATTGCTCTTCCTACTTTTCCAATTCCAAGTTAGGTAGAAGAGCGATAATCCAGTGATTTGTTTTAAATAAATCCTCACCATCAACAGAGAAATCCATTGTGATCAAGCAACATACACATAAAGCCAAAAAGCAAAGCTAGTACATTTGAATCTATACTCGATGAGTGAGGATCGAGATCAGTGTTTGTGCCAATCCGAGAGGTAAACTAGTGACAAAAAGTGGAATATGGGAAGCTTAGGGAACCATAAATGATGCATAAAAGTTATTATCAGAGAGGACGTTAATCCTTCACTCGATGCGCTTTGTAATAAAACAGCCAAAGATACCAAAAGGGGGATGACCAAGGTGTTGGAGGTCATTTTTAGCGAAACAGCTGTGACTATGAAATATGTCCTCTTGAAAAGTTGGGGTAATGTTTTGGTATCACCAAGGCTATCACTAGTGCGAGACAAACGATGACATTCCAAAAATACGAGATTTATTCAACTAGAGCGAAGGTAGGACTCGATACGTAGGTGAAAGCTCCCCTACTATTCGTAGCAGGAGCATAAACTCAGATGAAGACATAGATGCTGGAGGCTCCCCAGCGCCGTTTTTTGAAAGTCATTTTGCAGAAAACGGTTTTCGGAAATAGATGCCTGATATTATTATGGGATCAGGATTGAAGAATTACCAGTAGTAGAACGTCTAAAGCCGTGAATGTGTGAGTACTCGTGTAAAAGGGTTCACCTGTGTTATGGAGTGAATTTATATGCCACAAATGGATATGATGAATCATGCGTTACTGACCGACATCGGGTAAACGACTAGCAATAGTAAACTCCAAAAAATTGTTATTGCATAACAGTGAAGAGAAAATCAAGATGAAGGTGAACGAAAGCCAATGAATTAGTGCCAAGGTAGCATCGTTTGACAAAAACCACCAAAAAAAATTGGACATCAGACGGATGAAAAGCCATGCTGATATATCAGAGGAATAATACACCACTTCCTCCCGCCTGACAATGTGAGACATACCGAGTTCATTGGGAGGCGTGAAGACGAGGGTGGGCGTATCCTTGCGGGTAATGCCTAGAAGGTCACTCACGTGGCACGCAGTGAGTGGATTGTCACCAGTGACCATTGTGACGTAGTGCGATGAAGTCTTGAGCATCTGAATGACTTTCATTGAGTCCGGCTTCAGCGGGCATGATATCACCACAAAGCCCGCGAAGGTGAGGCTACTTTCGACATCCTCGCGCTCTAACTCGCGTACCTGTGTGCGCACAGGAGACAATTGGCTCCAGTCGAAAAGGAAACAGTAATGCGCAAATAATGCGACTTGTGAGCGACAAAAGAAAAATCTTCCTGATAAAAGAGTCGTTTCTCTGATTTATATATAGTTTAAAACGCATAAACTCAAATTCGAGTAGACTGAGGATAACACATTCAAATTAATATCCAAATGCTCGCTAAGATCTAGTTAAGTCATGGCGCCCATCTGCCGACCGTTTATCAAGAGTTGGAGAAATGACGTACTTTTATTTTTTACTTATAACTCATTTTTCGATTATTCTCAGCAGCAATAATGATGCTGAAAGTTACAAATCAAAAATCTAAAAAAATGAAAGCAAGTACAGCTTTGAAATCCCACAATTTCGCTGAAAGCTGAGAATGTCGATTCATTTAAAGGAATATCCAAACTATAAATGCATTATGTTTTGTCACATTTTTAAAATTGACCTGCTGATGGCTAAGTCGTCCCAGTGTTTTGTGACCCAAAGCGAGAACACGTGCACCTCTGCGAGCCATCTGGAGGTAGGCATCATCATAGTCCATCGGTAAATCGACGAACATCGACTTGAGCACCTCGGGAGAACCCTTTACACAAGCCATGTAGGTCAAATCCACATCAGTTGTGCCTTGGTAGCCCACCACCGTTGACATGCGTCTCAGCTGACTCGTGAAACGGAATCTGAGATAAAAAATACGAAGATAAACCTACTTGAGACCTTCAGTAGAACTGTTTCAAATGAAAAGACATACCGCTGGTAAATGCGCAGTGGAGGTGATCGAGGGGTGGTTTTACCATGCACCACACCCTCAGCGTTGAGACTCCAACCAACAGCCTTAAGCATGGCCTTCTCTAGGGGGTCCCCAAGAAGACCGGACTCGGAGTGAACAAGGGCATGAGCAGAGGCGAGAACTTGGACAGTGGGAAGGGGACACTTGCGCACGGGAATGATTTTTTCCGCCAGCTCACCACTACAAAGCGGTGTAAGCAACAGGTGTAGGAATTTGTATATCGGGATAACCTACTTGAGACCAGTAACACCTTCTACAACAACTTCATCCTCGGTAAGGGTGCCAGTTTTATCAAAACAGCAGATATCCACACGTCCAGCAAGGGGAATTCGGAAAGGCTCAGTGCAGTAGATCACTACAACAGAATCAAAGTGATGTAATGATACGTCCCTAGCATCATTCCAGACGGTAGACTACATCTTTAAACCAACCTGGGAAAAGGTCCTAATTCTAAGCGATTTTCACGTCTAAGAGTTTGTTCCCTAATTCCATGAAAACGATTTAGAATTTATGTATTTTGAATTTAAGAAAAACCTTTGAAGGGATCATATACATCGGAGGAAAGTCGAAAACCTCTCAAATGTGTGAATTTTAGCCACAAACAGTGACTTGAAAGATGTTCCAGTGAACTTCCGGCAAAACGCATTCCCACTATTAAATCGACAAATAGCAGAGAATTTCATGATCTCCTCAAAAATAGGTGTTTGAGAAGCCGCTATACACTCTAAACTAAACTCGATGTGATAAGACTAGACAAGGAAGCCCAGTTGCACGAAACCAAGGCATAATTAATGCGTCATCCATTTTGACCGGTTAAATAAGAGAATATAGATCTGAGTATGTGTTTTGCTATTATCCCATCAGTTGATCCAAAGGTGTAGCTTAAGAAAAGCCTATAATTTGTTTGCCATTTCCATATCTTATCCTAGGAGACTTAAAATTCATAAATAAAAAATGCAGCCGACAGTAAGTTTCTCAGCAAATTCACCATAGAAAGCAGCACCCGAATCTGGCCATTAAGGTTACCATTCATGCTGAATTTACCCACACAAGCCCTCGAATGCTATCATCTAAAAAGCCGGTCTATTGCCTAAATTCTAACTTTAAATTAGGGCTGGGAATCAAGTCATAAATTAGAAAAGAGCTTCCGAATGGTAAACTTGAAAATTGTTGTGAAACAGTCAAAGCCCCGCAATGTATTCGCATGTGTCAAGCAGATAGTTTAAGAAAGAAGCACTTAATTTAGATGCTTAAATGATTTCGAGAAATAGACGCTACTATTATGCTAATAAGTAGCTAATGATCGATCGCAGTAGCTCTCTGAAGTGACAGGCTTGAGATCTATAGACCAAAAAAACGCGAATGAGCTAACAAAAACCCTCATGGAGAACCTCAAATGGATGACCTCAGTCAATTCGAAATTTCCAAATAAGAGTTTGCAATTCATCTAAAAAAACGGTATCTAAGCAACCTCCACGCCACTCATTCGTGCAATGACAGGAATTCATGCAAAGGCTACATGCAAATGCCATTGCAAGCAGTGCAGTAAGCCTAGTGGTGTTAAGATAAGGTGAAGTGAGGCGAGGTACAGAAAAGCCAACGCACGCATCTTTGAGAGGGAGGCAAGAGAGGTATTGACAGCCAGGGAAAGCTCAATAGGCAGTTCCTGAGGAATAACCGAGGTGATGATGAGGGTGCACTCGAGGAAGAGCTTGTACCGATTCCTTCTAGGATCCGCAGTGCCTGTAAAGCAATGAAAGCCACGTTAACATTTGCATTAGCTTTCACTCATTCCCTTCCCAAAAAGGAATCATTCTATGATTTGAAAGCTCTGGTAACAAACAAGCAGCTAAGCTATTGAAGCCATTCAAAAGAATTACAAATTTATTATTCACCAATGGTGGAACCAATAGATGACAAGACGTTTTAAGCTAGCCAAGAAACGGGTGGTTTTAGACCTAACTATCGAAATTCACCTATAGACAAGTTGTAAGACCCTATAAGGCTCACACAGATTGCAAATTCCAAGACGCCTTTCATTCATAAACAGCATTACCAGACGGAATTAACATTCCTTATTTGCCGTGCTTGACAAATAGGTCTATTGAGATTTTAGCTGAGTGACTATAGAAAGTATAGCCTAACATTGACCACCTACCTCATTCATACCAATAAAATGGGTAAATTGATTAAATGGAGGTGACAAATAGCACGTTATGGGACATGGATACTCCCTGTCGACAACTTGCGCAGACGTCAAAATAGATTTGCAAAGCAACCGAAATTAGGGATCAGACAGTCTCAAACCGCTATAGTAAGCTCTAAAACCTTGCAAAATACGATAGCAATGTATTTTTTAGGTGCAGTCAAATACAGAAATTACTAAACCGTTTAGTACTAGGGTGCTATCCAAACAGAGTGAATGAGTTCAGCCATGTACTCGGATAGGAGTAGATAATGTGCACACTTCTCAGAAGTACGCCTAACACTTGAGATCATAAATCAAGGAAATACAAAGACAAAGCAGACCGTGGCGTCACTACTTTTAATGTAATCCTAAAAGGAACCTGGATCCATTGCGCAAAAGCTTGATATAATGATTGTGCATGTCTGCACGTCAGGCGGCTAGGTAACAGATGAAGATGAAAACTCAGATTCCTTTACTGAAAACAGCTAAAACAGACAAAAAGGATGCTAAGGAGAACAGCTGTAGGAACGGGGAACTCCTTTTGAAGTTGCAAACGTCTTCTATCCAAACGAAGACATTTGAGAACAGATGAAGCGAGGATTGACGGAATACAGTTGCCTAGGCTTAATGCAAGCTTGGGTAAAAGTGTACCGGGAGGTATTATTTTACGCAATCACCAGACAATTATGATTTGTGCGCCCAAAACTAAACCTTCCTTATTCGCTTAGCCATTAATCGGCCTTTGCCGACGAGGCAAAAACCTCATTGCGATGCACGCAAAGTTCTTCGCAAAAAAATGCGTACACCAATTTGAGGACGGATTTAAGATTAAGGGGCAAGCAAATATCCGTGATTGTACGATTTCGATAGCACGTCGCCACCAAGTTAAATAATTCTTCGGGTCAGTTTCCAACAGAACAGTGAAAAATCGGCAGACCTCAAGTTGGTATGTACCCTTTAAAACTGCAGTATAGTAACTTTTTCTTTAATCGAAAGGTTCTCAGTACAGAATGGAGCAAAGAGCACTTTGGAAAGTAGTGAGACTGTAGCGTACTTAAACCTGACTACACTCGAGAAAACACAACATTCGAAGCCATCTTCATATCTGAAACTGTTGTTAACGAGTTTAAATTAACTCGGTGGATCCAAAAACCAATTACAATACTTCAGAATAAATGCTCATTACCATTAGCAAATGAATTCAATATTCAGCTATAAAATAAAATGACAAATAAATAAGCAAGTAAATTCAGAAGATCACTTATCGAAGTGTATGCAAAATAAAGGACTTAAGTTAATGCAGACCAGGAATGTCGACCTGATTCTTTCCCCATTACCAAGGTTTAGCTTGCTTTGACGCTTACTACAAAGGTCACCTCTGTATTTAAACGGCCAAAAAACTGAAAGTGATGCACGAGAATTTTCAAAAGACAACTAACATCTGTTTTACTACCAAATAAGCCCATAACTCTTGGCGAGATGGCAAAAATTGCCAAAAGCTAAGAAATAACTTATGAATGGACAACTTTTATTTCCAAAACCCCAAATGTGCAAGACAAAGAGCATTTCAAAGATCATGAATTAATCTAAGTCATTTCTATCAATCCATTGAGATTGAAGTTAAAATGGAAGCCAAACGTTAGTAAAATTATTGTGACAGAACTCCTTTCTAATACACAAAATAAAAATCGTACGTAGCATACTTAAAGCTTCCGATAGCTATAAACATTATTTAAGCCTATGCAAAATAAGGTACGAAATAGCAGACGTCTCAAAAGTCATCGCAAGCTCATTATGACTTAAATTTTCACTCTTATTCCTGCCCACATATTCACCAAAAGTATTAGCAACCTTGACAGCTGTCAAACATATTGTGTATCGCTTTATACTATAGGTCCAACAATCTAGACATTCTTCGATATTCACTGTAGGTAAATACAAGCAATCAACACGATTATGAGGTCTAAAACTCACCAACAATCCATACGTAGGCCGAAGCAGTAATGGCGAAAATGAGCAGAAAGGCAATAAAGGCTAGTGTCTCAAGGTTGTTCGCTGTGATCGCCTTCACGCTGAACATGATGGTCTTGAGAAGACGCCCCTGACAGGTGCTCAGACCCGTACGCAGTACAAAACACAGGCAACCATTATCCGGCGCTACAATAGAAGTAAGTGTTAGCTCAGCTATTTTTTGAGTGTTTGTAGACCCATTCTAAGGCACGTCACCTTTAGGGAGGCCTGTGTGCTTTGCTGGTGGTGTCATCTGCACTATCTTGGTGCCACCAAAGAGGACGTGCATTTTGTCGTCTTCGCCGAAGTCAATCGGTTTAATGTTTGTCAGACTTTCTACTGGTTCCTGTAGTCGAAAAAGACGAAGCATAACAGCGAAGAAACATTACTAATGCTTCATGTAACTTTAGTCGTGATCTTGAGGCAAAAATATCCCCGATATTCAAGTTAGATCAGAAGATTATGGAAGACACTATTAGAGGAAATTTATTATACTATAAAAATACATTCGAAAATTATGAAAACGCCTTATTCCACTAGGTCATCCTACCTTCAGCCAAAAGTATCGCCTCAATAAGGCGATAAACGTCACCCGCCTTCAAAGATGTGCAAGGCAGTGCTTTATCACATCAATCCTTCTATCCACAATTACATTGTTTGGGGAATAAGAATAATCGCAATCACATGCGGAGTTAAAAAGGATGTTTAGTGAGAAAATCATTTCAGTACAAAATTAACAGCAACTAAAATCCCATAGTTTAAGTTGTTTTTCAATATAAGCACAATGATGTCCTGATTCTTAGATCACTATATCGATAATACTACAATTAAACTTTCAACTTAGAGTCAATGTCCCACGACAGATATGAAAGTATTTGGAACTCGTTGACAGTTATAAGTTGTCTACCAATATTGATGGATATAAATAGTGCAATGTGCATTCCATCATTCAGTAGGAGGTTCCATCACAACCGCTACTACAGATTCACACTCTGAGCAACCCGTAGAAAAATCACGACAAAAGAACGCACGTGAGACATCGTTGTAACTTCAACAACCTATACACTGATTATACCTCATTCAAGTGCAATACATTGGACAAATTTCTAAAGTCATGGCAAAGAAGAATCGTACCTTGGTTACTGGAATAGATTCACCAGTGAGCATGGACTCATCAACAATGCACGTGCCTCGCAAAAGAAGCAAATCACATGGAATCAATTTCTCCTGAAATGATTGAGTGACTGAAACAATGTCGCCGGCAACAATATCCTCGCTAGATATAGTGTTCCATTTTTTATTCCTGTACACATGTATTCGATAGGGTTGAGCACCCATTGAGCGAATTTCTTTCAGGTTTTTCAGTTGCTGCATCACTAGACCACTTTCAAAGAGAACAAGAAGGATAAGGGTCATTATAGGGTAGAGCCAGTATTCATCGAGACACCAGAGGAATACACTAAACACTTGGAACACGAAGAAGGGAGCAGTGGCGCGTTCCAAAAATAACTCCATGAAGGGAGGCACAGAAAGGCGCAAACTAGGAAAGGGAAAGAGGTGAACAAGAAAGGCATCTACTGGTTATCTCCATACGCCTCCTTCGCAATTTCTATGTCCTTTTCTGAAGTGTAGCCACGCCAATCCTTATATTCTCTCAGTGACCATGACAGAGGGAACTTAACAGCATGAATACTCTCACTGTCATCCGAATCAAATGTATACTTCAGCCGCTGATAGTAAAAGTAATGAGTCAACTCCTCTGTAGCGATGCTCTGAACAGAATGCCACCAGTAATACAGAAACTGTACCTTCGTATGGAAGATAGGAACAATAGCGGGGTATCCAGAGTTTGGTGGAGGTATAACTTTAGCAAAAGTAGCCTGTGAGACAAGTTTCTCCTAGGAAAACGTTACTAGAAAGTGCCCTTGCTTTCTTGAACATAAGAAGACATCTAACTGTAACGAACCAATAGCAAAACAAGGCTGTCAGTATGTGGAGGACCGAAATCACTGCAACACCGATTAAGCCCAACTCAACATATTCAGTAGCTCCCAACGTTCCAAACCAATATCCAAGCCAAATGGAGTACAATGCTACGAATGGCCAAATGTATCCATGAAGTAGTACAGGCTTCTCACGGTATAGGGTAACTGAGTCTATGTCTGTTGTTAGCTTTTTAGATGACATGTCTCCAGCAGCGCTTCCACAATTCTAGCTAAGGTTCAATTGGCTGGAGCGTAATTTTGTAAAATCGCCTTTCTTACTAGGATATTTGAGATTAATCCCCTTAAAATCCTTACTTTTGCCTTAAGCTTAGTATTCATATTTGCATCAGTAATCATACTTTCCATTTGCAATTAGTACCAGTTTAAATAAATTTAGTTAATCGTTAAGTAATTTTGCATTTACCCATGAGCACACCAAAAAAATCGAAATTCGCAAGGCATGTTTTTAGAACTTGTTGACTCGTATCCCTTTAATCAGTCTTGATGTCCGTAAAAAATTACGTCTAAGCATAGCTTTGAACAGAAAACTGACTCACGTGGCAGTCCCGTTTCTTAGTTCAGAAACATAAAACCAGCACGGACCCTGATACGGCAGCGCTAACATGCAAGATCTAACGCTCTGTTTACGTGACTATGCGATACCTAGCAGTCACCTTAGGTTTCGCCTGACCCTTCTACTAGTAGCCTGGCCCTCGAACCACTCTCAGACCCTTTGCTCCGTTCTCTTCTGGGTACACGTTCTCATCCTCCCTTCCCCTACTCTATAGGAAGTCTCGGGACGCTAAACGGACAACCACACGTCCCAACCACCGTCGCAACATGTTCAGACAAGAGCACCCAAGCCTGACTGGGACCAGTAGAATTACCTGGAAGCCATCTCAAATTGCGCACAGGAAACAAGACCCGTCTGCGCAGATTGCGAATCAAGAACCACTCACCCCACCCGCTATTGAGAAAAAAAAACAAGTCAATTTTAAATGCCGTTGCTCTTAAACAAACCCCGCCATCATTCCTACCAAAGATGGATATGCGCGGGTAGTGTACCATCAGCAACACCTCTCAGAAGCATGAGACGGTTAACAAGAAGGGTAAGATGCATAGCAAGGGTGTAAGTTGGGCTGATAGAATGCTCTGTACATGGCGGGCACGAGAAGAGCCTTACATTGGACTAGCCTGTTTTGCATTTGCCTCTGCCTGTATTACTGTCTGCCCGACAGCTCGGAATGGCAACAACACAGCAACATTAACAACAATAATGCATGAGACAGGAGGACAAATTGGTTTCGTAGATGAATTGATGGCGAGGAAGGACTCGTTGTATTGACGGGCCCAATGGGAACACCTGCAAAAAAGATGCGGACAAGTACTCGTAAGGGAGATCAAGCGAATTACTTTGGCCTAATAGTCTGCATAAAAATAACCAAAGATCTCAGTCTCCGACTTAAAAGATAAGGGTAATCATTTAACCTTGAAGCTAAAATAATTAGCCGCCAAGCAGCGTTCCGCCAAATATTCGTGCTTTCGTGGAACAGAGTACACACAAATAAGGCTACCCCCTTCCCTCACTATGATCAACATTCTACCAAAGTGAGTGTTAAATTCCGGATATGGAAGGAAAGGGGTCAAAGTGTAGTCGAACGTTCTTTTGCAGACTAAAAGATTGCGCACTCATGGAATAAACCACTGTCAATGGCGTCCATATTCGATCGAGAAAAGCTTGTGACGATAGAATTCCTTGAAGTTACCCAATAGTATGGGTGCGACATACTCTGAACGATTTCAGTCGGCTTCTACATTTCATTGCACGCATGCCTGCGAAAGATCGCCATGTAATCCAGCGTCCCGCCAAATTGCAAATACTCCAACAGATTAAGAGACACGTGATGAGGAACGCGAAGAGACAGTGAACAAAGTAAAGCAGGCCACCACAATTGACTGTTGAAAGATTGGTTCAAGTTATGGAAAGCAAAAGGTAAATTAGCAACGCAGCACGGCATCATCACCTATTTATTCGGTAAAGAGGGCAAAAAAATCAGTCACTTTTCATAAGCAAATGCGTGGAAGTAATTTCATTTAAAAAACCACTTAATGGCAGAAGGATAAAAAGTGCATGTCGTTGAAAATTTGAAGCATTCTAGATTGCAATGCGTGGTTGTAGATCAACAAAGGTTCTAAAGTGTTCCTCAAGGTCGGTTCCAGTTTAAAATCATGAGATTTTAGCCTTTCTCAATGCCCACGAGTTCTACTGCTCAACTTTACCAATTTTGCACGGCTGTTATAGTAAAGCATACCTCTCTTTATATTGAAGCTATGAGGCGAACAAGGGTTAAAAGAACATCATTTTACCTATATTTCTGAGCTCCACCTCATGGCAAAAAGGTGGAGTGTTCTGACAGTAACATGGCAGAGCACAAAAAGGAATTGTGTTGGTCTGAACCACAGTAACAACAAATCACTTGATTCAACGGCGGAGCTAGTATTTTATAGTACCAATTATGTTAGATATAAATTTCTTTAACTGACCAACCTTTCATCAAACAGCTCATTGTGCGTTTTAAAGTGGCTCTTTTCTACATATAGTGCTTCTGCATTCTTGCATTGACTTCTCAAACTATCTTTAATCATTATCTGACCACAAATTCAATTAAACAAGACGCTTGGAAACATTTTAGAATAAAGGAAACTGGAGCCTGCCGAGGTGAAATGCATTTCCCTAATGATTAAGGGCATTGAAATAAGCAGAGTAGCAGAACATTGCACAATAAGCCTATCGTGCTTTGCATTAAGGATATACGAATAAGGGTACAAGCTGGTAATGTGTACCCATTCTTCGAACCTTAGTTTTACAAGAGAAGACACGTGCAACAGAAATCACATCGAATTGATGTTGCATAGTGAAAATACAACACTTCATAGCATGAGCTTGCTTGTCCGAATAGGGAAAAAGGGGGATGATTGTGTCGATAAGGAGTTCAAGATACCAAAGCTCCGCCATCTGGAATCGAACCCAATTTACGCCAAAGATGCCCAACCAGTAGGCCAAATTTAATGCAATTCTAATGTCCCATGTCTTTGCTGCTAAATGAATAAATAAAAAGTTCTAAAGAGATTGGACCATGTAAAATCTCCGATTGTACAGGAATTTCGAACAGTCGATTTTGTACTCACTGATATAACGACCGCAAAATTGAGGGGAGAACACATGGACATTGAGAATGGCCTCTTGTTAGAAATCCGTTAATACAGCTTTTACGCACAAAATTTCCAGATCTTGTGATTCGTGGAATATAGTTCCTCAAACAGAAAAACAAACCCGCAGTCTGGAGACAACCTCCACATCTTGATAAAATTACAGAGTTCACATTAAGCAGCGCAGGCATGAGAAGTGGACTTACAAGAATTGTTAGGCAAGGAGATGTCCGAGAGGTGCAAGGAAGAGAAGAACAAAATGGCGTCTAGTTGGTAGACTCAGTTGGCGACGCAGCAGAGGTGGTGACGGGGGAAGCGTTTGTGGTGGTGTTCGTAGAGGGATTGACCTTTTCAGCCTCTTCAGCAGGCTCCACAACAGGCTCAGCAATTCCAGAGCGTTGAATTGAAGAAGAACCGTTCTGTATGATGCCATGACAGGAGGCCAGCAACTGCTGAATCATTGACAACCTACGGAAATGACATCATAAAAGAGGAGTAAAAGTAATCAAAGTCAATTTCTGAAGAGTCCGTCGTCAAAGTAGGCTAAAAGCAAACCAAAAACAGCCGAACGGTTTTTTATCAATTCATTTTATTCGTGAGCCGTATTTATGTTGCCTTTAGTTCATTAAAAGCACCATTTACTTGGTTATTTTATAATTAATTGAGCGTTAAATAGAGACGCATTGAGCGTAGTCGTTGAGATCATGGAGATCACGCATATGAAAAACCACTCACATAATGGGTTAAAGTTGATGTAAACACTCACATATAAGTGTTTTGTCATAATTTAACACAAGGCAAATGAAGAAAACAAAAATTACAACTTCATAAATAAATGTTGGATAACAAGGTACATGTGCCACAAGGTCACAAATCAATCGTTCGAAGCAAGTTGATGGCCAACACTTCCAACTACACCTTCTGTTTTTAGCTTGGAAGACGTGAGGACAATATAGAGTTAAGAAATCCTATGACTAATATAATTTTAAGTATTATATTGACACGGCAGAAATGTCGCCATATAGAATGATAAAATGAAGGTATAGTTTGGAGAGAATGACATATTGGTATGAGCTTTAAGGCAGGCATCAAATACAACTTGAATTGGAAATATCACAAAAATTATTTACATTTCGGTGGAACATTAAGCAAAGGAAATAAAATGTGGATCTAACTTCCAGAAACGAACTTCATTCTTCATAAAAATTGTAAATAATTGAAAGCATATAGCTTTCGGAAACACACGTGGCATAAACCAGAAGACATTACATTTCAGTACCCGTAGGTAGAAATCATGTTTACTATAAAGCAAAATAAATCCTACTGATGTACAGCTGCAATCAGGCCATAAATAAGAAGCCTGGTACGAGGCTAACCCAGGAATCTAGACGAGCTTCCACTCAAACCTACATCCACAACGTGCAATTCAAATGTTTACGAACGTAAGGTTTTACAATAAACAGCTGGATGGCGTCAATATCGGATTTGGAATTTGAAATACTTAAACCAGTAAGAGGGGAACGAGATTAGCAGACAGCTTGTCACTCTAGACAGCTATTGCGGAATCAAGTTCTTTCGAATAAGGGTTCACATAGACGCCTTCAACAAGGTCTAGCAAATCGTGATACCATTTCGCGAGCACAGCTAAGTCGTTACCATTCTATGAGTGACGGAGGCAAGTAGCCGTCGACTCACTTCAGCGTCATAGCAATGTGACCGCACCCCCAGTAAGGTAGAATACAACCGTCAAAGGAGGAGAGCATTCTCTGTAAAAAATGTATCAAACTATGCTCAAGTGGCAATCAGGGATAGGGGTCTGAACAAACTGTGCCTTGATACATCGCTCAATTCCCTACCACATTTATAAATTAGAATGCCCATTGAGTCAAACATAGGAATGCAAAATTGAGGTTGAAAACCAGTGTCAGAAGCTAAAAAAGCAATGCATGGAAGAAGGATTCTATGCGAGCTTTTGGGGTTAAAAACTCCCATATGGCAACCAATATTGAGACCTTGGAACTTCAACTACTTCGAGAAATATTAAAGCATCAATACAACAACATACCTCAAATTGACGATTATGAACGCGTCATATCAAATAAATAAATAAATAAATAAATAAACCCACAACCGAGACCCACTAACAACAATCAAATAGTGCTGGTGTTTACGCGAAAAGTGTCGATGTTCGAAATTGTTATTCAACTAGTAAATCACAAGCCCTGAAAGATACAGCTCCAACTATATTGGTGGACTTCGGTGACTGTATGCTCGGACGAATATTCAGTGAGTGAATCGCATACTCCACACCAAACGGCATATTACTGCAATAACAGTAAAAAAAGAATATTGCGGGACGTCTACCATTCACACATTCTAACCGCTTATTTAAAAAGACGAAAATTAGAAATAGAAAGAGCCTTTACAAGACACGATGCTACGCACATAGGAGGGAGCAGTTTGCTTCGTGCAGACGGATTTATAGACTGTACTCAACTTCCTTTCGAGACTCAGTTAGACACGAGGGATCACTATTGGCTGAGACGGTGCAATAGTTAATTCCAATAAGGCCTATAATGAATGCATTTACGATATGCACAAATATACGAGTAAGTGTAAAGTTAATGGATTAAACTCTACCTATGTTCAAGAGTTAATAGGGATGTAATTAAAAACAACGTTCTTCAGCGCACTGTAGTTATGTTAAAAGCGGCAATTGGCTGCGATTTCAAGATAACTTGAAGTTTTTACTCCATGAATTCGATGATATGACTCTTCCAACGTCGGTTCAGGCTTGTTTTCGTCTTGCGCTTTCCCATGTCGTGGCCTTTTCAGCAGCAACGGAGCCACAATCCTCCTCCTCCTTATCAAAAAGAGCACTCGATGCTGAACCAATGCTGCTTCTAACTTCGCTGAATATTGGTAGCTCAACCAGCCCATACTATTACTACCGATTCTGGTGTAGCTAAGTAACGTTATTCACAGAGAAAATTACGTCATGAATAAAGACAGCACCTTATTCCACCTAGCGTCAAAAAAATATCTTCCTACACTCTGGTTCAATGATGAAAGGTCAAAACAAATGCCGCCTTTTTATTTGTGGCAATTATGCGAGGGAATTGGGTTTTTCAAATTTTACACCGATGTTTTTTTGTAAAAAAACGCTTGTACACCAACTATAGCTGCCCTTGAGTGGTCCAGAAGGTGGTAGCCAACACATTCAATCTTTACTTTATTAAAACTAATAAACGCAGAAGGATGGCGTCACTACTGCTCACGGACCAACAAAATTTTTAAAGTGCACACCTAGATTGCTTAAAAATGTTCAAATGTATTTCCAGATCACGCATAACAGAGGAGCGATAGCTATGTAATAGTTGATGAATATATGCACGTATATGAGTGAAAATCAAATTCCAAAACGAAAAAGTCGTACCGAGAATTTGTATCAGGAGAGCATTCAGGTCCTCCCTTCGAGGTAGAAGGTCCGCGAGCGTCCAATATTCGTTGAACCAGGGCTCCTCTTTAAGCAAAGATGGTGGAAATAAATAGGAAATGGGTTTGATGTAGAAGGGAACAGGTTGAGCTCACTTACTTGCAATACACAGCATGAGGAGGGAATTCGCCATTCAGGTTACTGCGAATACGACTAAGGAGATGATTCACCGGTGTCGACTTTGGACAGCCATCGCTATTCAAAATGTCTGCAAAGATGAGAATAGTTCCAACTGGGAAAAAAACTGCAAAAGAAGGATCCAAAAAGCAAATCCACAAATAGACAACAGTTTGAAAGATCTCGTCATTTTAGCTTTCATGTGTGATGTTGATAAACACAAAATTCCTATAGCAAACCAGGTAAAATTTTTTCCGCATTTGTCAGCCTTTCATTGCATGAAATACCTTCTCAAACGATCACTTGATTCTACTTGATAGCCAGATCGGTGGTTCTTCATGAAATACTAGTGGTAAGAAAAATATCTGTATCCTCAAAAAGGAAAAACCCTTCTAATGAAAAAAAATGTCCTTGAATTTGGCATTCCTGTGTTTCGAATAAGTAAGTTTAGCGTGATTAAGCTTAGTTTTCATGGAATACTGCACATTATCCCAGCAGAGAAGCGAAAAGATTAGCACTTGTAGTTCAAGCTGACTATGCGTAGTCATGATTGTTCCAACGAATCCAAAGGCAACCGTTACACCAGCCACACGGACCACACGAAGCAAGCAGAAACGAAAACCCAAGTGCAATAATCTCTACCTTAAGTACTGGTACATAAGAGGCATGCGGTTGATGATAAAAACTTATCAAGAGGGAGGAATGAGTCGTTTTAAAACTCCATTGAATACAGGAAGAAGGAGAAAATAAGATTCCAATCGTGACCGAAAAGGCGTCCAGAGCACATAAAAGTGAAATGTGCGAATATGCAGAGGGATTTTCGGATTCAATTAATTGGAAGGGGCTTGAAAAGCAATGGTAAATGGGAAAACTAGCGCCATACAAATCCCAAACACGGCACGTTGCAAAGTTGATCTTATGTGGTCATAGTAACAAGGGCTGTTTCGCTTGTTAGGTCCCATGACCTAATTAACGTATTTAGGCATAATTTTTTGCTTCTCAAGGGAAATGAAATGTGAAGTTAGTTTACAATTGTCAAGTTTGTTTCTAGCAGGCGTTAATCTCAATGAATTTCGCGACCCTACATTCGTTAACCACGCGATTCGGCTGCACATGGCCCTATGCTTAAAACACGCTGGAAGTAGAGAAATGAAGACGGAAATCCAATCCCTTACCAATATAATCCGTCACTCAAAGTAAAACGCTGACATTTCCATTGAAGGTATTGACTAAAAACAAATATGTAACAGCATCACGCTAACAAAAACCCGACAAAACCAATAAATGGTCCATTTTTTTGTTTCGCGTCGATTGAAAAATGAACGTGAGGGAGACTCAAAATGAATACAATCGAGGACAATTCAAAAACGACTTTCCTTCGCTTAACTAATCCAAAGGTAGTATACAGGCATTGGAGAGTGAGGCTTATTCTAAGTGATGGAAAATAATGGGAGTTCGAAAGTGGAATCAAGTTTATGACAGAAATATGCAAACTGAAAACACATCAGGTGGATAATTGTTAATAGTGGTAACAGACCAGTTAGGGTGCCGAAGTTAGCCTTAGCATTCGGAGACAGATAATCGTGCCCGCTTTTCCCATTTGAAGTAGGATTAAAGTGAGCAAATGAAAACTCCAATTCGTCGTCTTGCGACGGCGAATCATGAATCTATCTGCAACAAAGTCGGCTTAGCTATAACCTTCTAACAAAAAGGAGCACCATTAATCCGTGTGCTGCGCATTCGCATACACAGTAGCACAGTCTTGCAGGAGAAATTCAACCCAATTATTGTCTGCCATTCTCCCGCTCAACTCAACTGCCATGTAGGTCTATTATCACTGAATAACCAAGGCAACATGGGTGCAAAAACTGTCCTTACTGTTCGGTGAACGAACACGATTCCCAACTATCGTATTTATTGAGCGGAGGCTATTCGAAATCGTAATTGGAGCAGTTGCGAACATTTCGTCGGCTACATTAAAAAGTAATGAGTCAAGAGAGGTGAATCCTTTAGAAAACGCACCATTTGCCATACGCTCTACAGTTTCCTCCAAGCGTTTGTCCTTGGCCTGCAGCTCCGAATCCATTTTGGGTGCCGGCTCAAAGGCCACAAGAACCATGCTCATATTATCTGAACTGCCCTAGAAGAAAGGTGAATGTCAGTGCCAGCAAAAAAATACACACAATTTGGCTTACTCATTGTTTGAAAGGACTTGCTATTTAAAGCATAACTGAAGATTTGGCTTCTGCTCAAGGAGCACAAAAATACATGTGGTACTTCCAAAGTCAAATAAAAAGCATCAAGATTTCCGAGTACCCACGTTATGTTCTTACAAATTGAGGAGTTACAGGATAATGTGAACGATGATAACTTGACGATGACTTCATGTAACAAGCAGGACATCAATGCAGTGCCTAAATCACCCCGAAAACGTGGTATAACAGAAACGGATGTATTCCTCGAAAAATACCTCTGCAGGAACAAATAATAACGCATTGGGAACAAAAACGCACACATTTCCGTTGCTCTGAAAGGGTTCTCAACCAAGTTATTCTAAAAGTTCCATGATTTGAACCGCTAAATTGTCTCGTTCAGTCACAGCAGTCTGGGACAGTTGCATCTCAGACAAACACCCCGAACACAAAGCAGACCATTAACAGATATTGCTAAGAGACAAGAACTGGAGAGATAAGCAGGCTCCAAAGCGATATCTCCACAAACTATCCAGAAGCGACTTTCGTGCAGGATTGCCTGACAGTCAATGAAATTTTCTAAAAGCACTTGTTTCGCATTCTTTCACTATGCTTCAACGTAGACTTCAACTGAAAGCGAGTCACATGGTTTTACACCTGATATTATCATGATAAATAGTAAACATGCCGCACACTCTACACACGAATCCTGTTACAAATAACCGGTTAAAAAATGAAATCTACCTAACATTCGCTGCCCATCAACAATATTACCAATTTTCCTTGTCTCGGATCTTTGACTTATACAGCCGGATTCCTAGGACGATAACTCTCAATTAATCCGCCAACGAGGCCTAAGTAGAAACTTTTCTTTGCATTAAATGCACTTGTGCATGAAAAAGTTGTCATTTTTAGTTATTTTAAAAGTGGTCTTTATAACTCTTACTAACCAAAACGTGGTGATATTGGCAGGCAGTAGGGGACTGACAGGTACAAGTCACACTATTCCGTGACATGGAGAGCCCTATTCTAGAAGACAAGCTCACGGTTGTTCACAAATAAGTTATAAACAAGAACTCAAAAGAGGCCGAAGAAAGGCTAACGAATTCACTGATACAATTACTTCCACCACTTTCGAACAATCGAAAAAGACACAGAACCGGTCGTAAGAGCTGGAAGTCACCTACTTTGAGTACAAATTCAGTAATCGCTGTGGAGTTTCATGTTGAGTAACAAAGCGGTAGCTTTAAAATAAAATATTTATGACGCGGACAAGAAGTTCAACTCCTGCTCCCAACCGGAGACTCACATTGTAGAGGCAGTAGTCAATGACCTCGTTGCAAACCTTCGATAGATCGCCAATGCTGCGCATACGCTCACTGACCACACGACATAAATCTTCATTGCTCACCACATCCCAGACCCCGTCGCATGCCAGAACTACCATTTGGTCGTGGTCCGGCTGTCGATCTATTACCGTAATCTCCGGCTCTGGTGAAATCAGCTGCTCTGTTGGACCGAGGTCGCGTGCCGTCTTGTAAGAATAGTCACCCAGCGATCTAAAAATGCATAAATGAAACAACAGTAAAAGTTCGTTCAGAGATAACATATCTTCCTTTCTAATAAACTAACATGTTATGCCTGTTAATTTAGTCATTTGCATAAAAAACACCGCGAAAGGAATCGCTTCTAAGCCTAATTTTCCTTCACGAAACCGGGTACCTCCTAGAGCCAAAAAATGCCACATACATCTACACAAATTGCCATTGTTTCCATCTTTTAATTTGATTGCCTCATCATAAAGGCTCCCATTAACTGATGAACGTAACGTAGTCGGAACACCCAAAGAAATTATGATTTAATGTTTCTACACTTACTTGGAGTACAATAAAGACGAGACCTCACTTCTTAATAAACCATGAACGAAATGAAACGGTATATTTGACATACGTTGGCTTTAACCCAACCTCTTAAGAGTAAAAGGACCTATAAACTGGCTTACCCTCTATTTCAAAGGCCACTTTGACAAATTATTAAAAACACCATTGGACTTGAGCCGGGACAGTATCATGCGGTCAGAAAAATGCGAGCTTGCGAATTAAGCAATAAATAATCCCCGTGGTTCTTCTAATCATTAGCTTGTTATTCGTGTTATTTTTGAGCAGATTTTGTAAATGATCCAACTAGTGCTTGTTATCATTGCCCATTCTCAAAGGACTTTGAAAAAATTATCTGGTGTCAAATAGTTGGGGGCTGGCATTCCGGGGTTTTTTTGCCACAGGTCATTGGGAGAAGGAAAAAACAAGTGAAAGTGAAAATGGTTAAATTTATAAAGATTGTAAACACAAAATAGTGCCTCCACTCCTCAGTTAGGAGCGGAACCAAAAGCGTGCCATCTACCCGCTCAAGAAACTGGTTCAGCAAATCTCTACCTGGACATCCCAATGACGCTAACGTCCCATGATTCAAACCATTAGCAAAACTGTTCAATTTCTCATTGGCAAAGACCAGGACGTAGTAAACATGGACTAAATACAAAATAGATATTGAATCGTAATACGTCAACAACAAAAAACGTCCAAATGAAGATAGTGTGCAATTCAGCATCATCTGACAAAACGCTGCAATTAGGAAAGGGTCACTTCACTGCAGGAGGAAAACAGGTATGCAAATATTTTAAGCTAAATCCGCAAGTCTGGCGGTCGCGTCATTAAATGGGATAGTGGAAGGGAAAAATCCGGAGATCTTCACATAATTAGGCTTGCCTCAAAAGCGAAGAATAGTGGTCGATTTTCTAAAAAAAATAATCAGCTGCAACTAGATTCTGTCTCCAATTGATCTTTCAGCGGGAAGCAAAATGTGATGAACGGGACCGTTCAAAGTGAACTAATAAATTTGGCCTCAAAGTATTGCAACGATATGAAGATTCTCATTTCCCCGCCTCTATAAAAGTGAAGTTTGGTAACTATTTTTGCATGTTGCGGTGGAAAATATCAAATAATCCAGTAATTGGATAATAGAATGATACGTATTTGAACTCTTTTCCGGCTTCACCGAAAAATAAGTCCCAATTGCTGCTCCGCCACACATCGCAAATCGCGCAACTTCCTCTTCGTATGGTTAATAGATAGTAAATTATTTTATCAAAACTAATTTGTCGACTGTAACTGTTTACAACGGTAACAGAAATGTTCCTCAAAATAAGCCTCAGCCATATTTAATCGACACAGAAGCCGTCGAAATCATCTTAAAAAAACAGCCATCAAAAGTTCAATTTCGTAATTCGACGTTGGTAAAAAGGTCATTCATACTGTATTTACATAGGTATGGCTTACCTTGCAATGCAAAGAAATAAGTATTCGAACGAAGAATGCCTGTTGAGTACATACAGCAATTTGATTATTTCAGCATGAATGAAAAGCGGTTACATGATTTAAATTCTTTCCAACATCTTACCAAAAAAACTGACAAGGCCTGTAGATTTTGTACAAATGTTCCCAAAGTTACAATGTGCACAGCTGCACAATAAAAGGCTACGTAAAGGGAACCGAGCGAAGACTATAAGCCAATTGAAATTGCTAAAAATTCACTTTGACAATTGAAAATAGATTGGAAGGATCCAATGCACATTAAGACCAATGTAATGGATCCGATTTTCCGTTTTGATGGCATAATAGTGACGTTTCTACCTCATAAGAAAAACAAGTTCCATAAAAACCAACCTGGAGACGGCAAGATTGCCATTGACACGCTCGACAATGACAGAACCACCAGCCCTTTGAATACGTTCCTTCTCACTTGGATGGGCGGGTTTGTGGTCGGTGGTAGCAAAGCCCACCTCGCCGTCGCGGATGAGCACTGCGCGTGAGTCACCGCAATTGACAAAAAAGATGTGCTTCGGCGTGATAAGCACACATACTGCTGTGGAGCCCGATCTGTCTGTGCCATTGGCAATCTCTGGCAAGTTGCGTAGCTCCTCATCAAGGGCCAGAAAGCCCTCCCGGATACCCTGGCGCACCTCTGGTACACTCGGTGCCAGCTCCGGATCGATCTTCTTGAACTCTTCCGTATCCACAATACGCTGTGGGTGCGAAGCAGGCGTCGAACTGGTGACATTATTTCTTCCTGATCACTAGTTGCCTATCTGGACTAAATGTTGGGTCCCTCTAAATAACTCCTTTAACCGTCAGTAACAAATACTATTTACAAGGCCTTGGTCGCAAGACGCATATAAGCACCCAGATGGTTATTCTTTACCTGCGAGATAGCCACAGTCTAGGAAATCTCTTTTGGATTCACGAAGGGGAATAGTAAGACAACCCCATAAAAGAATTGACAAAGCAGAGTCATGATCAAATACCGATCGAAACGCATAAATGAAGTACACATTAGCTTAACGGCAACATCTAACTCATAGATACATGAACAAATAACCCAGAAACCAAGTTGGGGGATACAACAGACACAAGAGTAAAAACTATTAACGTATTGAGCTCGCAGGACACACCTCTGAGAAAAAGGAAATTTAAGACAGTCTAAACTTCATAAATCCAAATACCTAAGGAATTAAAATAAAGTCTTAATCATCGCAAGATCGATGACCACATGATAGACAAAGACCAGGGGAGGAAAAGGCATGGGCCAAAAGAGAACCATACCTTCAGCAGCTCAGCTGCACAGCGTTCCGAAACAAGTGCGCCTGCGTGTCCATCAAAGACGGCAAAAAAGGACCAATCCTTAAGGTGACCGGGAAGTCTAGTTATCGCACAATGGGCATCCTCCATGGAAACACGCCATCCTTGCATGCTGGAGAGCCCATAACGCAGATTATTGCCCTCACCAGATTCATTAAACTTTTCCGTTATCGGCGTAGCTAGCAATGTACCCATATCCCAATGAAAGATACCTAAAATTTAAAAAGGCACTGAAGGGTACCAGGTTTAGAGGCTGAAGCATATTAAGAAAAACATGTACCACTACCAGTTGCACCAAATAACCCCCCGAAATCATTACAAAAAACGCATACCATGTTGGTTCCATCATAAAGACAACGAAAACGGCAAAGATGAGGCAACAGAGCTTACTGACAACTAGAAAGACCGATGCCACAACACCTAAGATACACAAAGTGAATAAAGAACGATCCCTGTAAGGTGATATGTAGTTTGATCAAATTATTTCATTAACTGAAAGACACACATCCAGGATATCTTCTCAAAAGTTTTTACCAACATGAGCGACCTTTATTCCTGTAAACTTCCAACCCGCAGTACTAATAAGATAATAAACAAAACTTTCGTAATCAAATTGGCGCCAGAAAGGAAACTATAAACAAAGCAGTCATAGTGAGACATTATCGAATAAATATTGCCTTAACAACCGCAAGTTTTGCACTTGCTTACAAAGAAAGGTTATTCGAAGTAAAAGTTTACTTCGTTTGAATCAGCTGTTTTAATCCGCTACATAATCGAAAATGGCCTCCGCAACCCAACTTGATGGTGTGGCACAGTTGCAGGTCGCTAAAGCGGCCGCGACGACAAAAATTGAAGAAGCACGAGCAAGTGCGTTAATTAATGTTATTCACTGAGCGTAGGGCGTGTTAAAAAACTGAAGCAAGCAAAAAGTGAAGCGTCACTAGAGGCGAACTCGTACAAGGACGAGTGTGAAGCAGCCCTAAAAGAACTGGAACAAAGAGTATGCAACCTTTTTCTGACTTGTTTTAGTATTCCAAACATGATTCTGAGGCCGGACGCAGAGTTGAGGCACTCACTGAGCAGGCCATTCGGAGGCTTCAGCAGCGCTTTGAAGACAATAAGGAAGCTGCACTTGAGGGCATCGTCGCTCAAGTTCTATCCGTGTGTCCAACGCTCCATCGAAATCTCGTGAGCACTCACTGAGCCTCGTCGTGCGCTCTACACCATCACCGCACCTGTACAATTTCGTGACGTTTTGACCTTCCCAGCTCTTTGGTGCTTACCACTTACACGTACCAAAACTCGTGTCACGCACCCTCACTGCCTCTTCTCATTATTGCTCACCGGAGAATTAGCGGTACTGATGGTCAGTTTCCACTGGCTCTCAAATGCGAAAAGCATAACGCGGAATACAAACGGCTAAAGTGACATTTTGAATTGGTTTTCGTAATAAAAATGCCTAAGGCAGAATGTGATAAATATGTAACAATGCGAGGTGGGCATCATGGTGAGAGCTTCTCCTTCTCAGCGTAGGTCTGGATCCATGGATGCTGAATTATTGAGTCAATGTCGAGCCGGTTCGAAGGATGGAGAACGAGGATCTGGATCAAGCGTTTAGATGGTTAGAGATTTCGCCTAAAGACCGCCTCACCTGAGCGAGTACTCACCTTTGAAATTAAATCTTGTGCAAGTGGGGTAATCACGGAGGGGAATTTGTACTTTACGGCTTTGATGCGGGCGTAGGTCTCCTTCGTGTCCTTATGTACAAATGGGGGATTCCCACTCAGCATCTCGTAGCACAAAACCCCAACTGCCCAGTGGTCAACGCGCTCGTTGTGGCAATGACCGAGAAGCATCTCAGGTGGAAGATAATCTATTGTCCCACACATTGTTCTACGCCTAAGGAACATGAACTTCCAAATGACGAGGGAAAATGGATGGGAATGCTACTAAAGGGCTATCAAATGCAAAAGTCTCGGGTTGTCGTAAAATCCGCAAGGCAATTAATGAGACAAAAGCACGTACCTGAGTGAAGGAGCATGAACGGACCAACCAAAATCAGCAAGTTTCAGTTCGTTATAGAAACCGAGAAGGAGATTCTCAGGTTTTATGTCTCGATGAATTACGTATCGCGAGTGGCAGTACTTTAAGGCATCACATAATTGATAAACATACTGACCCATACAGATCTATAAAACAGACATACCGTGGCAGCTTTCCGCTCACTAAACCGCTTTTCAAGTTGTAAGTGAGCATACATCTGCCCATAAAACGCATATTCCAATACCAAGTACACCTTGGTTTCATCGTGAAAGTATGTATACAATTGTAGGATATGTGGATGACGCAAATGGCACATTATCTCTATTTCCCGACGCAGTTGATGTTCCATACCACACTTGACAAGTTGCTTTTTAAAGAGAATCTAAGAGCGACTATGAAGCAAACTAACTCTACCTTTAATGCGCACACGAAGTCTTCCTTCCTCGTTCTCGCAAGAAAGACATTGCCAAATTTTCCATTGCCCAAAGGCCGACCAATGAAGAAATCTGACAGTCGAGATATGGGAGGTTCAGAGCTTTTCCAAAAAAGTCAACAAATTCACATCAACTTACTTTTGGGACGACTCTTGACAGAACGTACTCTGCAACCGCACCAAACTCATTTGAAACGAGCAATCAAAGAACTAACCCGCTTCTGCAGACCATCAAAGTTATTGATGCACTTGAACTGCGTAGACTATATATCATAGTTATGGTCAAGCCTGATAGAATTTACTCTTGAAATTTAAAGTGTTTAGTCGAAAATGTCAACATTGTATTCGCCTTGATTCTGAATTTAATGTTTTGAAATATTTGTTTCATGTCTACACATATAACTTGCAGTTTATTGGATTATTTATGCTAATACACGCAATGTGCTACCCTAGAGTCCTGGCAACGACCTCAGCGTTTGTAGCTATGCAGGACCTGGTGCTCTCGTGTCGTGTCATCGCTGCAACATCTAATGACGAACGTTTCCCGGCAAAAAATGTACTGAATGTAAACGATAACAATTTCTGGTTAACCACGGGCATATTTCCGCAGTGCCTGTTAATCTCGTTGAACTCAAGAACAGCGTTGAAGTTCCTGAAAATAGTTTCAACCTGCATTAAATCCTTTGTGGTACGAGCAGTAGTCTGATGCCATTGGCTAGGTTGAGGCCGCTTCTGATGACGCGTCTAAATACCAGACATCGGTGGAAATGAACGCAGATTTTGCTGATAAGCAAATACAAATAACGAACTGCCCTCTGAATGGAGCTTTGTGCAAGCGGATTAAGATAACTATTCTGAGCGCGTATGACCACTTCGTTGCCGTGTACAAGCTCATCTTCGAGCAAGGCTAAACAATAACCCTGCCGTTATTCCATGGAGCATGAACCATTTCCACGCACCTAGCCCCTGCCTGCCGGAATATAATATTACGATACACATTACTCTTATTAGGAGACAGCTAAGCGCGACTTCCAGTCGGATAAAATTTAATCAACTAAGTGCCTGAGCGGTACATGCAGTAAGGTAGATCGAAGAGGAAAGTAACGGGGTTATTTAAAAAGCAAATAATCGATTGAAAAGGGCCTATGTTACAAGAGGTCCCAAACATCATTTTTTCCAGAAGTTTGGATCAAGCGACAGTTTACGTCGGATTGTTTCAAACCAACGCTTGATGGACGACATAGGAACATAAGCTTCTGAGGAACCCGGCACCTCCTGCGCGCAACCGGCAACGAAATGGAATAAATTCTCAGCTGCAAATTGAGTAAACCTCATGTTATCATCCATGCTGCCAGAGTTGGAAGAATTCCCGATCGCAGACGTTTGTCCTACTAATTCAGCCAGCGGTTCGAGGGAAATTCCCACCTGTGCAGTCACCGAATTTCCGCTAGAGAGATTTGAAATACTTTGAAACGGGTTTGCATCCCGATTCAATGAATCTACACTCATTACTTAATATGTCCGAAAGTTTACTTACTTAGCTTTAAGCCAGACACCCTAAAAATTGCACTAGGACGGTCATTCGAGAGGTAGCCCAAGTAGCTCCAGTTTGCCAACCCATTTTCAACCAAGCCGAAATGAACTAAAAGTGTGGGGAGCGTAGTGCACCCTACCTCCAGCCCCATATCCATCGGGGAAGGGAGCCTGTCCAGTCAAAAATACGACGATGTGGTTACTCTTTCCAAGTGGTGGTAAATTAAGAAGAAGTCTTCCAGGGGACACCTCAAAGAAGTTTGATTGAACCTAATTTGGTAGCAATGGAAAGATAAACTACCAATTGTCCTGTCAAAAGAGCCGCAAACATGAAACACCCAAAGAACACTGGTAATAAGATGATTGGCTGACAAAAATCAGGGTCATTAAAGGAGTGGCACCTGTTTTTGCCTAAATAAATTTAGGCAAATTTAGGTATAACGAGCCTTGCTTTTAAACTAAGCATCAAAAAATTTCCAACAGACGACAATGTCTTAACTAGGCCAGTTCCGGAATATACCTAAATCAGTCAGCGTTCAGCGATTTGCTAAAACTATTAGGCCATTAATAATTAAAAGATACAGCAGTTTCATTTCCTAATTAGTGAGTACTCATCAATATATTGCACTAAATTTGCTTCACGGGAACGAAACGTTCCATGTTATCTTTAAAAGTAACCGCAAGTCATCTGCCGTGCAAATATTTTGGAGGACTAGCATTATTGTCCTGAGAAGAAAAAAACACTTAGGACACAAGAAGAAATGGCTTCTTTTAATCTAGCTGGATCCCCTGATATGATTTTGCCTCTAGAAGCTCCCTTGTGGATTTGAAGAATTGAGACCTTATTGCTGATTGTTTATTGAAAAAAAACGGTCTTAAGGCTCTCTTGCTTGCAACCTTTCGTAGCACTTGCAACGGTTGAAAATCGCAATCTATTGCCCAGTGCTTTGCTCTGATTGGCGCTGATTTACTTGGTGATACAGGAGCTGACCCAATTGTCTCAATCTACACCGTCATATAATAGGTTAGTCCCACTTCCTCACAAATATTGCTCCTTAGAAAGCGAACTCTCTTTGCTTTCCTAGTGTGCAACCAACTATGGACAGGCCGCCGTACCCATTCAAAAAACAGCCGCCGAACAAAGCCCAAAAGAGACCAACTGCACGAACCCTTCGCCAGCTTGTCAATGCTGAGTGCCAATACCACTGGCCTCCCGGTTCCGTCCTCTACAACCAAATTGAGGCACCGCCCAGCCTCAGGCCCGGGATAAAGGTGTCAGACATCAGCGGACTTCCGACCACTTTGCAGGAGCCTGTTACCAAGCTGCGCTATGCCAGTGCCGAAGAATACCGTGTAATCAAGGACCTCCCAGCTGACATCGTAAAAGGATACCTGCTACTTCGGAACGCACATTCAGATACGCTAATTTGAGAAACTTCTCTATTTAATTAAAAGTTTTATATACAAATTTGATGTTGAAACTACCACTTTGACCTTTTCACTCAATTTCAACCGCAGCTCCACAAGCTTCCAAAGCCTTCTTCATCTGTTCTGCTTCGTCTTTACTAAGATCCTTCTTCAAAATCCCCGGAGCAGCCTGGGACGGAAAAGTAGTCAGGTCAAACTTTCAGTTTGTGCAAACTATTCGATTAGGCCTAGCTTGCGACATCTCCTTATCCTACACCTGTCAATGGTTCACTAATTTGATCACTTTTGGATAGCTTGGAATGTGCTTATCTTGAAGATTTACAGAAACCAACTTCATTCACGTGAAATTCTGACGATGCAGTCTGAGCCAACAGGTCTCATTACTGCGAAGAAGGGCTTCAAAAACGTCACAGGAAACCCACCTCCACAAATTTTTTAGCCTGAACTAGGTTCATGTCTGGAAGGATGTTCTTAATCTCCTTGATCAGAGCTACCTTCTTTGCGCTGTCGAACTTCATAAGCTTAACAGCGTACGAAGTCCTCGAGGGCGTTTGTTCTATCTCTTCGCTGTCCCCTTGTGCTTCCGATGAAGTCATCTGTAGAGGCATGGCGGTTACAGCATGCGTCGGTGCCTAATAAATCAGATTACTTCAACATTACCGGTAGACAAGTGGAACACTTATGCTTATCGCGCTTCATGAAAGTATCATATGGGTAGAAAATTGAAGGCCTTGTCCATCGCCAGTGCGGAATGTAGCATTAAGAACTTAGAATGATGCCGAACAAAAAGTAAATTATAAAAGATTAACTCGAAAACACATGGACAGGCCTCCAAATGCTCGTTAATCAGTTAAAGGCGCATAAACGTCGCTCACCAATGTTAACTGAGCCGAGAATTTACCTTAATATTTAACCGTTTGGATAAAAGTTCATTTAAATCGGCGACTTCCAAGAGTGTCAAGGAGGCGATTTCGTCAACGATCCTCACAACATGAGCTGGGAATTGCCTCTCGTCGTCATTGAGTGTCAATGCATGAAGCTTCTCGTCGCTTTTGAGGAACGCAGTATTGGACAAACCAGCAAACTTGCAACCAAAAAGTGATGTGCCACAACGGAAGCGCACAAAATTAAGCGCAAATTTCCTTCCAAATATTAGCATATCATGCAAAATAAACTCAGGGAAAGTGACTGCACAGATTAGTGGACGATGGCTAAATCGGGAGGAGGATTGAAGTAGTTATGTTAGTTGTTCGAACATTTTTAGCTATGCTAAAAATATGGAAGCACTTCAAAAAAATTATTATTTCACATGACCAGTCCCAACTTCTTAAAGTTTTGTGGATGCTGATTATACAGCTTCTCATATTGTTAAAGTAATGTGAAAGGCATGTGCATGCTCCATTTCTTGTGTGAATGCTGTTCATCCTATAACTGTCAAATAATTTCCCCGGATTGGGCTTGTAATATTTGTAGAACGTTTTTTATGCCACCACATGACGTTTCGCAGTCACTTTAGAATTGGTCTGGAACTTGTACACGTGGGCTGGCCTTCGGGCCATGCTCAGGTCCCATTTGCCCTGTCGTCTTCAAAATATATGTATTCACCTTCACTTATGCCTTCTTCTATTCTATAAGAAGCCAGGGAACGCTATACTGGTGGCAGCGGAAAGCTGACTCAACACTTTAACAACTTGTAGTTATAAAGTGATTTGCAGACCTTCTGCTGCAGCAAAGGTGGAATCCCTGTCTGAAGCTTGTTCTCCGTTTGTTGTTTATTAAAAGTGACATAGTGTGCGGGAAAATCTATTGCCAAACAGGCACCGCTGTCTCACTGATGTCCTACATTTGTGTTGCTAAATTTTGCCAATTACTCGATTGATATCCGGGAAAGAACAGTACGAACGAGCCGAAAAGCTATGGTTCGACTGGATGATGCGCTGGTTCAATACATGCAAATACCCCACAATCGGGTTCCCTTGGCCGGAAAGTCGAAACCTCTCTTTTCATGACAAGAAGTTTATAATCTGACAAGCAGACAAGACTGTAAGGGGATTCTACCTTTTAGCGAGGAAATCAAAGATTAGTAAGCGCATTTTGGCTTTGTGCACCTGCATTCCTGAGCTATACATGCATAGAAGGAAGTCTGACTGTCGAAGTGAAGTAAATGAAGATACAGGCGTTAAGAGTATGTGAATTGAAGGTAGTTCATTTACATTGTTTATGGAAAACCCCTAAACCCTTCCCAAAAAAGGGATTTAGGCTGACGTCTGCATTTGGTTTCACCCTATTTCCGTGTTTCGCAGACAAACTATTAACAACTGAAGCGACACCACTGTGAACTATCTGGAAAAGATTCATGTCGAAATTTCCCATGTAAAACCGTGCTTAGGCGTCGGAAATGACAATACGGTTCTCCTTACATGTGGGGCAGTGGCTCATCCCGTTTTCCTTGAAACATATGTGTTTTAGACCATAATTACACCGTCTGTTGCTGGAAGCAATTGATGGTCAACACCAGATCCGGTTGAAGCTGCTAAGAATACCAGGTACGGATCCCCAGTCTCATGGAATCTGTCGAGTGGCGCGTTTGGCTCGTGGGTGCTTCCATATAGTACTGAATATGTTGCAATGGGTGGCGCGAGAGGTGTACCAAAGGGGAGCGCTAAGGACGTCGCTCAAAAGAAGAGAATGATAGTGCTAAACATTTTTTTATGTGAATTCCGGATGTCTGGTGGTCACATTAGAAGTTGTCTGGTCTCTGCACGCGTGGGCTGGCCTTCGAGCCATGCTCAGGTCCCACTTGCCCTGTCGTCTTCCAAATACATGCGTTCACCTTCACTTATGCCTTTTACTACCCTATAGGAAGCCTCGGGACGCTACCAATCCAGGCCCATTTACCCCATCGTCCTTAAAATATATATGTCCAGCTGCACTTAATGGATTCTAACACCGGCTAGGGTGTCTCATTACGCTAAAAATTGTGTAAAGTATACTATTTTATTTAAATGGACCCTTAAGGGAGAGAGGCGGGAACTAATTGGGAACACGAATCACGTACACGAAGACGATGGGTAGTCTCTCTCCAGTTGATATCTCTTATTCGGCTCATTTGTATCCCAATCCCCATACTTCCTGTAACAAGTGCCAAATAAATCATCTGCAACCAACCCTCTCTTGAAATCCAATTTCAAGGGCAAGAGGGTAGCCAGGCAGCTCTTACAAACCGTTTATGTGATTTTTGCTTTAAGTGAATATCTTGTCAGGATGCTCGTTTACTAGCCGTAAGGACAAGCCATGGTACAGTCACTTACAGACATATTTAGTCTAGTGAGCTCTACAGACCTACCCTAACCACCATGACGACTAAATTCGTCTTTCCTGTCTCCCTAAATGCAAGCATTATGAAAACAAATAATATATGCTCAAACCTCGTTTAATTTCGGGAATATCCAGGAATTCAAATTAACATTTTGTTACATATTTTTGCCTTTTATTTAAATAGTTGTTAATTGAAACTCTTAAAATGTAATGTAATCTTAATATTGTAAATAGATGCTGTTTGTGGAGATTTAATCAACGAAAATATCACTTGACATAAAAATTCCTATCCCTTCTCATTCCTTCAATCACAACATAATTTTTAATTTTTGGTAAAGTAATTTATTCTTTTCCTAATGAATCTTTTCGCGTTTTATTTTTAATGCTTTGAGTACCTTGTTTTACTTGATGCTATATACTTTTCCAAGTTGCTCTACTTTTTGGGCGTGCGTGTTTCTAACCTGTGATGTCTGATCGTGCTTGCTTTAATTGTGGTGAGCCCGGTCACTTTGCTCGTGATTGTCAAAAGGCCTCTGATCGCGGCGGCTTTGTCGGCGGACGTGGTCGTGGTGGCTTTGTTAGAGGTCGCGGACGTGGCGGAGGTGGCTTCAGCGGAGGTCGTGGTAGGCATTATACGATTAGATTAGGGGATGCTAACTATGCGCCTCGACTGTTGTTTTGTGGAATTAATGATTCTCCCTAATATTTACAGTAGTTTCTCTTGGTTAAGCCACTATCTCTTAATTACTTTTTTCACTTGTCTTCAAAAGTGTGTTTCACGTTTTTGCAGACCCTGTGTGTTATAACTGCGGGGAAACTGGTCATTTCGCTCGGGAATGCAACGCACCGAGGAATCAAAATAACTCCGGTGGTCGTAGCGACATCCAGTGCTACAATTGTCAGGGATATGGTCACATCTCCCGCAACTGCCCTGAAGCGCGTAATAACTAAAGGCCAAAGACTCGGAGTTTTAACACCATTTATGGAAATTCCGATTGGTTTTCATATTTATACGCGAATGTTGAACTACGCGCGCTTATTGTAATATAGTGCATTTTCTTTGCCCAGATGGAGATTGCCTTTGCTTTTTTGGTCTGAACTTGATATTTGGTTCCATTGCGCCTTTAGCCGCCCTTTCTGATGTATGGCGGGTTCATTTGGTTTTTGAATTTGCTTCTCATTTTCTCCGGTGTCGAATGTGGCAAGGGGTCTAACGAGTTGAGGTGCGGATATCTGGTGTTTGACATGGTATGAGGTTTGGAGGTTTTGGTCTGCCAAGCATAGTTGGTTGAGCTAACCCAAGGTGGGTTTGTGGTTGCCGGAAGGGCGATGTGTCGAGAGTTCCGGGTCTGAACTTTTGGTTCTAGGATTAGGGATGACCTATTTCGTAAACAATTGGGGAGTGGTGCCGATTGTTTCAAAACTTGTCTGACTAATTTTGGAATGAGTAATATGCAACCCATACTGATCAGTGACCAAGTTCTATGACTCGCGTTATGGGGCGGGTTGTTACTCTAACTTAAAAAAATAGCCCTTCAATTCTATTTTACTGGACAGTCACCGATGTCTTTCACTCAAATTTCTTTTTCTTCGTAGTTATTGACACCGAATCTTGGTTTTATCCTGTGCCGTGTTACATTATACCTAGTATCCAGCACTGCAATAGCCGCATTGGTGACAACGAAACATCAGTACTGGTTTCGAAGCAATGTCAACGTCAAAGCCACTTCGCATTCCAAATTTCTACCACCCTCAATGTAAGAACTAGAGTTCTACCTTAACACGTGGGCCCTCATCTTGTGGAAAGTATGGAAAAATATTTTGGGAGTGCCAGCACGCTTCATTCAACGTGCTTACCAATGCATTCTTGCAAATCAAAATCTCGTTAAAAAAACGCTAAAATTTCGTCACGCGATGCCTTATTCGCCTACCAATTTTGCAAGAAGTAAACGTCAGCGAAAAACGTCCCCATAGATTCATATTGTCAGCTAAATTTATTTTTATAAAGTTAACTGCTTCAACGACTAAGAAACAGTTCAGCAAACCAAAGAACCCACATAAACGCAAGACATGGATATTTTACATGCACTAAACCACGGAGCAACTTGTTCTGATGGCTGAATGCTTTCTCAATTCGGTACATAGGAATGAGATAAAAATGACGTTAGCCAAACCGGAACGCTAAAAGAGCAGCCCATGCCCATGAACGCTGAAAGGCCGTATCGTTTACAATCCTAAGGTACGGGTTAATCTGCTAAATCATTTATTTAGCACAAACTCCACTTTCGGGGTCACAATTTTAGCAGATTTCTTGTAAAGAACCCGAAAACTTAGTGTTGCTTCGACAAATACTCGCACCCATTGTTCAGACAGATAATGTCGGATGCATAGCTAATCAAATTTGTGCAGAAGATTACAAGACCTACATTGCTGAAACCGCCTAATCCAATCCGCTGAGATAAGGCGCCCGAGTAAAGCTCTCTGATAAGTAGCGCATCAGGAAGGTGGTTCAACTTTGCATGTGGTTAAGGCACGCATGCACGAACACAAGTGCACCCACGCCCACACCCACCAAAGACACGTGCAATGCGTCAATAGGTCAGCCTTGCGACATCGTGCACGCATTTGTACACAACGTAGGTCTATTTATGAGCTGCATCATCCACTTACTATGCAGTGTGTGTGTGTGTGCGTGCAGGCGTAAATTTCATCTAATGCTATTGTAGCACCCTCCCACCATGCATGAGCGGTGACGCAAACCACCGCGCGTTGGCACGCACATACACTGTTATTGATTCTTCGTTCATTTAATCACCTTTGTGTCGCACTGCACGAGGCAACACTAGCGCTACGTTTTTGCCATTGGTGGTTGGGCGTAGATGTTTCGATAAGTTTGAGGGATAAGTAGTTCGAGTCTTTTTTACAGCTATTCGTGCCTGGATTGCCAATCTAATGCAGAGGCTGAATGTTCATTGGTTGCAGGTGCCATTGCCTGCGATCCAGGTCTGCTGCTCCCCTAAATTTGAACCGCTCCAAGCTCGTGAAATTTGTTTACTTCAGCTGTGCAAATCAAAACGCAATTTTCTCTCCCATTATAATGCAATTAAAACTCCTTTCCCATGGTCATCGCTTAAGCTTCATATATTTTAGATTAGCATAAATATGTAGTTTTCCTTGTTTCCAGGAGAGGAAGTTATTTACATATTTCCCGAGGTTAGTAGTGTTGAGCATGGATTGAGGCGTTTTTCAGCTACCTTAGCTAGCTACAAACTAGTTTTAAATTGGCATTAGTCTAAGCCTAGATAAGTTGATGATGTGCAATGGTTCTTTTTCGCCACAAAAACATGCATAATACTAAAAAACATGAACAAAAGCATTTACCAAATCAATCCTAAGCACTGTTTATTTCAGTCACATAAACCATGAAAATGCGATTGATCTAGAATGCTGAAATGCTCTTGGCTTTAAACTATCCAAATGCCATTTGAGGAGACAAGTGAAAACCTGAGTCGAGACTGATTAGCAAAAGATCAGCTTGGATTATTCCACCTACCTTAGTCCTTTGTGTTCGAACCGGTTATTTTCATCGCAAAACAAATGATTTGTTTAGCCCGACCCAAACCGACTTGAGTGTTTTTTACTTAGTACATTGAAAGCATTTTTTGTATGGGGCCACGTAAAGGCTTTGTGCACAAGCTTATGTGTTAATGAATTTATCGGAGCCCTCTGGAACTTAAATGCTACCAGCGTGTAGACCACCCAGTCCTTCTGAATCTCCGTCTGCAAAGCTTCTTAATATTGTATAAAAGTAAATAGTTGCTCTGGAGAGTGCCTAATTACTATAAAGTGTTCAGTCCTGGAATATGCTTTCATGAAAGAAAATATCGTTTTACGGCCTGTTGAACTAATAATATACTGGTAATGGAGTATTTTTATGTTGCGCAAATGTAAATGCGAACTCTAATCATAGGAATATAACACAACATAGGTCACCTGCCTACATTTGTAGGTAAAATGGTCAGCTGTAATCTGGTCTGAACTTTTAATTTCGTGCAAAACTTGTGCATTATGTTTCGGAACGACTTTTATTTTCGGGATCATGCTTAGTTAATTATTCACACCGGCTTCCACTACCCCATTTCCAATTTTATCCGTGCCCGCTGACAAACTTTTGGCTCGTAACCATGTATTCTCTAACTTCCTCAACGGGGACAAGTGATTGAAGCCCAATGCTTGACATAAGCTGAAAATGTCTCAACAGGCGACTTCACAAATGTCACTTAATCAAACCACGAGACTAATTCCCATCCGCTCAATAAGGGACATGATTCAACATTCCTCTGAAACCCACCACTTTAAACATTGTTAAGAAGTATGGTACTTCAACGATAGATTTGCCATTCTGTGTGCTGTCCGCTTTCGACTATGCTCCTAGTACCGAGTGATATAACTTTAGAGCCTTATAGAATCTACTTAAAGTAGATTTGGGGCTGCCTAATACTTGGACAATTGCCTCAACATCAGGAAGACCTGATTTCATCAGTCCTTCACTGAGGGAGAATGGCGACCTTTACTAATATGCGCCAAAATACGTACCCATGTACTTCCTTACCGTATGTCTCGTACTACGTTTATCCAAACGTCCCACAGCTGCCATTGTTACACCAACTCCTCGCAACTACACCAAACATCTTGCCGCGGTTGCAATGGTTTTCAGATAAAACTGAATTTTGTATCCCCTGGCCCGACCAGATACGAGGCAGAGATATCATTGGAGGTTACCACAATTAGACGGATAAACATTTGCAGGGCCGCATCTTTCACACTATCCTAAAGACGAATGAATTTGCAAGCTGCTCCCACCCCCTCACTCCAACGTGAATAGCAATTAATTCCTTGCAATATGGCGCCTTCTACCAAGTCAGCCCTCCATAAGATGGAGGAGGAAGACTAGTAGTTACGGCCCTTCCTGCCGCTCACCTAGAGCCAGATAGCATCCTGAGCCAAAATGATCGACAACCCACCTCATAAGTTATAGTTTGGGATCATAAAAAGCGCCGATGCAGAACAATTCCAGCCATCTCTTTATGAATTCTACCACTTCTATTTCAGGAGTAACTAATCATGGCCAGAGCAGAACACCCCAAAACAGTACAACTACCTCAAGGATTCGCAAAGTCATGTTCAAAATGAACCTCAAGTGCCTTTGACGGCACAACCAAGCAAGATCAAACGGCTGCAGGAAGGCTGATTGAACCGCTACCGACGGCAAAACTACGTAAACGAGGACGTCAGCGGGGAGCATGAAACCACGCACGGATGGTCGCAGCTATGAAGCCGCGACATTTGGATGGTCACTGACGGACCGCAACCAACCGACGAGTGACACAAGCGGCACGAAACGAGCCCCAGAAATCACAGCCAACAGCCGCTCAGCTGCACTAGAAGGCCTAACTGACTCCAGCGACACCGCCCACTAGTGCTCAACTGCCGCCATCACGCCACCTCCCATAACGTTTATCGACGGGAGGCCAACCCGAAACCACACTCACGATGGGCCAGAGCGCGCAACGAGCAAGAATCACGCCCGGGACCCATGAGCGAACACCACCAGGGGTCAGAGTCGAAGCTAACCGGCACTCTGCACCAGATGCCAGACCAAAGAGTATTGGAGCCAATGACGCGAACTGACTACCGGAAGAGAACAAAGAGACCCACCAGAAAACCAAACAGGGCGAAGGGGAAACACTGAACACTTTATTTGCGCAATAAACATTAGGAGATCACGAACACCTTGAAAACGTGAATCAGCAGACGACCTCGCAGTGCGCCAAGCCAAAAAGAGGACATCTCGTCAATCATAAGCACATCCAACAGATCTACGCCGCCCAGTTCGGTGGGATTCCGGCAATTGCTAGCGACAACCTAGTGATCTACCTACATCAAAGACTCCCTCTCAGACAAACCTCAGGAAAATGCAATTTATTTCGCGGTAGATGTCCCTTCAACAACACTCATTATGGAAAAACATCATGCGTTACACTGACTGGCAATGTGTCCATATCCTTTGCACTTGTAACAAATAGGACCTTCACCTTGTGTACACTCACGGGAAATGTGACCAAAGCCACGGCATCGGTAGCACTGCACTTTATCTTTTCCGCCACCACCTTGCGGGCAATCCCGCGAGATGTGGCCCTCTTCACCACAATTGTAGCAGCTACGACCGCCACCACCACCGCCGCCACCATTGTTCTGATTTCTCAGGACATTACAATGGCGGGCGATGTGGCCAGACTCTCCGCAATTGAAGCAGCCATCTGCAGCAACAAAAACACCTCAGTCAACAAAAATGTCCTGTTTGACAAGATAGTGCTCACAACCCTCGCACAGTTTCCTTCGCTTGAAGGGCAATGGGAGCGTAACTTGCCAAATCCTGAACACAAAACTGTCTAACCACAATGATCCGCCGCCACCGGCAAGCCAGTCAGGAAGGATCGAAAAAATTTGCACGACAACTTGCTTCGCATCTGGACTGTATAACAGGTCCAATCTTACCCTGGTAGCCGCCGCCGCCACCACCATAGCCTCCATAACCGCCGCTGCCATAGCCACCGCTATAACCACTACGCCGACCGCTTCCACGACCGCGGCCACCAGAACCGCCCTGAGGGCAATCACGAGCAAAATGACCGGGCTCCCCACAAGCGTAACAAGCTGGATCACGGTCTCCCATCACAACAACACGACAGCCGAAAACCAAGATGTCCCCACCAACCGAAGGAAATGGCAACTGCGGTCAACTAAAACAATTAGATTACAAAATTGTAATGTTAGACTATAAAAAAACAATTAGGACTAAGCAATGCCTGATTTTTGGTTTTCAGGTAATTATACTTTAATATTAAGAGTTCTTTTTTAGTACTCGAAGCATAACTAAATGCAGATCATTCCAAAAATTTCGAAAGCAGTAAAATCACGGTACATAAAAGTACAGTTGGGACATACGTCCAACTGACATGCATACGGTATGCAAAATTATATGCTTATCGACCCTGAGAGGCGTATACTTTGATGCGATTCTGAAATTCTTAAAAATATTCATTAAACGCTGAAGTTAACACCCTCAGCTCAATAGAAGTGAATGAGCTTAATATACTATGATTGTTAAAAAGTGTCAAATCTTCGAATTAGTATAAATTTTATGCATTGCTGCCAGAGTAATGCTCACCCTATGTTCAAAATTGACTTTTCGTTGGCTTCAACTCTAACATTATTAATTTTAATGGTAAAGCTTTCCAACGCACTTGTTTGTGTAAAACCCACGAACACTATCAACTATCATTAGAGTAGAAAGACAAGCACTTAAACTCAACAACACCGCTCATCTCTAAGGGCTTACACTGGAACTGGGGTTTCTAAACACCAGAAAACAGCTTTTGACACAGAGATTTTATTTTCACTCGCGTATCTCAGGGCCTATGAGTAAAACCTCTAGCTCAAAACGGATTTTAAATAGCGAATACAGAGTTCAATACAGATTCACGTAATATGTTCCTTCTGGTTATTATCTTCGTCATTTTTCGCAAATAAGATATAAGGTACAGAAAGCGATACCCATTTAATTGGTTGGCTTCATCTATGCCATCACGGTAACCAATGTAGGACTAAAGGTTAAAGGTTAATTAATTTGTCCTCCTTTCGATGCATGCATTCCGATCCACATGCTGCCTTCTTTTACCCGGTTAGAAGTCTTGGGAGGCTTCAAGATTGTTTAGGAAAGTGTAATTGGCATCATGCACAGAAGAGGAAATAGAAGAATAGTGTACTGATAGGACGCAAAGCCGATGCCACTCTGCGAATGCTTCTTCGCACTCCTCACGAAAAGGATTTGCTTCGAATTTCAAAACCACCTTTCCCTATAAAGGCAACTCAAACACATCAGTATCGAATTCAACAAAAGTTCCGTCTCTTTCGCCAGGTATACTTTTTTCGTACAAATGCTACATCTTATCTTTTTGATGTGCAGGTCTCTAATTACTACGGATGAGAGTGCAAGAGCTGCCTGCCTACCCTCTTGCCCTTGAACTCGGACTTTAAGAGAGGGTTGGTTGCAGATGATTAATTTGGCATTTGCTACAGGAAGAATAGGGATTGGGATACAGATGAGCAGAATAGGAGATATCAACTGGAGAGAGACTTCCCATCATCTTTGTGCACGTGATTCGAATTCCCACTTGGTTCCCGCCTTTCTTCCATAAAGTCTTCTTATACAAGCTAGTATATATTACAGATTGCATGAGTTGCAAAGGATAAAGTCCTGGCATGAAAGTTTATGTAATTGCAATATAATGGCATAACTATTCTAATAATCCTCTCTACTTTAACATTGTAGACTAAACGATTATATATAAATCGTTGCACGTTTCGTTTATAGACAAGGCAGAAATTCGTTTATAAAACAGAGTTATTTTAATTATATATAGCTAACTTGTTTTGTTTTCGTTTCTATGACTCCACTTTCACCTTAAACTATAATAACTATTGTTCGCGAATCTTAATAATGATAAGTAAGCAGTCACTTTAATACTGTTTGATGACTATGCTATTCAAGAAGGAGTGTTGTTGTTACTTTGCGTTGCTTTAAGGTCACAAGTGTGCAGGCAATTGGCCAAAATTGCGCGGACTTTTGGTATAGTTGGCATTTAAAGCCACTTTTCGCAGAAAATCATGACTTCTACCTCAAGATCCTCTTTTAAGTCAGCTACGTTTGAAGTGGGACCAAATTACACGGACTTTAAGATGTTAGGTGAAGGAGCCTATGGTGTTGTGTTGTATGTGCATTTTTGTCTTATTTGCATCCTAGTTCGGCGGTTGATAATCGGTCTGGCGAACGCGTTGCCATAAAAAAATCGACTCCCTTTGAGCATCAAACGTTTTGCCAAAGGACGTACAGAGAGGTCAAAATATTACTTCGCTTCAAACACGAGAATGTGCGTTTGTTTTGCCTTGCGCACGCGTCAGTAGCCCTTCCGAATATCTTTAATTCTTTATTTTGTTTTCATTTGTTCTTTGTGGTATTCAAACTTTTTAACTGACCTCTAATTTCTTAAATCATGTTTCTGAAACCCCTCCTCTTTCTTGAAGGTTTAATACGATATTGTCCGTGGTATTTGCATCTTAGTTAGTAAATTTTTCTTTCTGCTGGTAAAGTCTAGACACCGACTCGTCATGTCTTTTTTTTCTTATGATTTTGCCTTTTAGATAATTGATATAAGAGATGTTTTACTCGTTGGTGATACGTTGGAGACTATGAAAGATGTGTAAGCTCTTGCTTTTCCTTATGCGTTCTTTAGGTACATAGTCCAAACGTGTATGGACACTGACTTGTATCGTTTGCTGAAAAGCCAGGCCATTTCGAATGACCACATATGTTATTTTCTTTACCAGATTCTACGAGGTATGGGGGTCTAATTTTCCTACTTCTTTAGGTCTCAAATACATACATTCTGCCAACGTCATACATCGCGATTTGAAGCCATCCAATCTGCTTATTAATGCTAACTGCGATCTCAAAGTAAGTTGATACTTCTGTTGGCCGCTACTATGCTCACCTGGACCACCTTTTCACTCCCTACATGTGATTTTACTTAGTCAAAATAACTATTGACTGTTAACTCTCGTCTTACCCCTTTTGCTTTGCAAACGGTACCTTATCATAGGGTATGATTGGATATTTTAGTGTTAGATGGGTTAAACGTTAAACACCAGTCATAACCTGCGTAGCATTCTACTGTATATTCCGCACACTATAGTGTCGGGATCATATTTTTTCCTTTATAATCGTTTCAGTTTTTCGAACATTTTTGTCGCATCCATTTTCCACTCATTGGTCCACATTGTCATATCCGCTTGCAACTTGTAGTAATTTATGCACTACGCAACTCTTTTGACAGTTCTTTCGAAATATATACACCCTCACATTATTGATCTCAGGCTCAATCGGCTTCCCGTCCTCGGTTTACCACCTTTCACTTTATGACGTGTAAGCGGGCATAGGCATTTTTGGATGTTTGAGGTGGTTCACTTCGATAGAAGTTTTCTTTGCTTGCGTTTTCATCCCCTTCAACTACATGCACACTTTCCGAAAGTCTACTTCTCTTTCGTCTCTGTAGTTGCGTACCCGTGTGTCAAATTTATTCCGAGGTCGTATGTTCTTGTGTACCCCTGCCACTTTCCTAGACTGGTGTCATTTGATGCTGCATAATCCAACAATTCCGTGCCATCGCTTGCGTATGTGTGCGTGTGTGCCCTTGTGTTTGTACGTACATGGCATGGAATTCTGCGTGTACGTGCGTGCGTGTGCTCGCGCGTCCACTTGTAAATAGTTCCCTGTTTTCCTGCTCTTTGCATTCCTTCCTCGCTAGTTCTTATTTCTCAGCTGAATAGTTGGATCGGCATTCCATACAAAGGCATCGTTTTATTACCATTATTTTGCTTTATTTCACTCCGATTGTCGAGTACTTTTGATCTCTTGCTATCACGTTTTGCTATCTTAAGTCCCCATGAAGCAGGTTTAGCGTGCTTGTCGAATTTCACAACTCCATTTTTTATTGTCTGGTATAGGGTGGTCTTGCTCGCCTCCCATTTTTCAAACGTGAAACCTTAAAATCCTTCTCTTCAAATTTGTCACTTCCCCAAGAGGCGTTTTGGATCAGTGGAGAAGAGAAAATCCTCTTGTGGCACTGCAGCGTGACCGATTTTGTCTGGCTGGGCAGATGTGATTAATGTGGGGCATTTATTTATTCCCTGACTTCCTTCTTTATTATTGGGCGATTGCGATTGGCTGGATGATAACTACTGCTGCTCCACTTGACTGGAAAATTGACTAGGCTGATAGAGCCGTGATGTTTCCTGTTCGATTTTTGTGAGTCTGTTTTTGGTCATGTAATCCTCCGCAATAGAATACAAGCCTACTTTTATCCAGTCTGCGATTTGCAAGGTTGACGTTGAAAGTGGCAGTGACCTGTAAAAGTCTGTACTGGGTTGCATGTGCAGGTATGAATGGGAGTCAGTCTGGATGGTGTCTGTTTGCGTGATCCATACAGCATTCCTGCTCCTCACACTCAAACGGCAGCGGCAGCAGCAGCGTACTTCACATGACTGCACTCCCACTGGGCCAAACTATTGCGCTGGGGGCACTCCTCTGCAAAGGTGATTTAAGGGGACCTCACAGACCACCACACCGTCCCAGGGCCTAAAACCACACTTTGCAGCTCCATAAAGCGCACCAGGATCCTAGGCAGGTAAATCATACCATTGTTGCGTAACTTAAAATCTCCGTTCTCTTACCACACTATATTTGCTTAGCCGAATCACTGTGATCTGGGGTCATATGTTTGAGGAGTCTCCAAGCATGAGTATAGGCGATAAACTTCTGTAACTGTTAACTACTGAACTAACTTTACAGCTAGAAAAGAGAAAACTGGTAACCCGAAAAATTTCAAACAAATTCGTTCTTTTATCTTCTAAATGTGAGCTCATCTCCTTGAGTGGCCGATGAAAGTCTTTTATGCATATTCGGTCGGGACCGTGAGTACCTTATCTAGGCAAAAGAAGTCATTTGTTTCTGTTGTCATGATCTCTGTGCTTGATTTCGTGTACATGAGTTCACTCACTCATTCTATCACAAGCTAGCTCATCGTAGCAGCATAAAACTCCACTTTCTGCTTCATTTTCAAGTGATAATGTTTGCGTCAGAAATTCACCCTATTTGCAATCAACTCTACGGTTACCTTGAGTGGTAGCGTAACCGCTGGATTCTGACACCACAGCCACCACTACCATCATAGTAGCCGCTACTTGTTGATAAACAGTGCTTGTAGATGGGTGGTGGTGTCTGGCTCACATGGTATCCACTGGACCCACCCTTCACAATCTCATCCCGAAAGTAAAGGGTATTCGACGTGGGGAGGTGAAGGCGTGGCTATTTTTGGCTAGTAAATTTATTTGTTCTTTTGCGGCGTATGCTTGTGGATGCTTTAAGGTGAAGATAAAGGGGAAAAAGGAAACTTACCCCTTTTTGAGGACATTGCTCTCAAGATGTCATTAATTTGCTTGCTATTTTGCCTTTTATTGGCTTTAGTGGCAAAAAAGGCAAAGTTTGACTAATTAATTTTTCCTTGGTATTCGAAGAACGAGAGCTTTCATTCCTAAATGGATGATTGTGTTTGGTCCAAGATTGCGGAACTATATGAGTTAGTGTTACTCCTCCTCTTGTTACCTACTTTTTTGCATCCTTAATAGTACTGGTTTAAACTCTATCATGGGAAAAAATTCGGCAAACTATTTGGAATAAGGGAGATGTACCCATAAAAGAGTATCATTTGCAAGGTGAACCATTTAAGGCCTTGCTGGTTGTCGGTGAGGTTCGTTACCTCTTCCTGGATTTTCATGCGATAGCTGAGTGAGCTTCTGAAAAGCTGTCTTTTATTACTACCTGCAATATACTTTGTGACTTAATGGCGCTATTTCCTACGTCGTTCCGTTTGTCTCTGCAAAATGGCACGATTTCTTCCCACCTACTCATCGCAGTGCTCTTAGTTTCCTCAATCGTCCCATCGAAAGTCAGCTGGTTTTCGTTAACCAGATATTTGCATGCTGAAAATTTCTGAGCCATTTGTCGATGTTTCAAAATATAAATCCTTGCAAAAGAGGAAGAGGAGGTTCCCTCAGCACCCATAGATTAACCAAGCATGAGGATTTTATTTGCTCTCCCTATCACTCCATGTGCTGATGGGGAAAATTTGTTTGGTTTAATATTCCTCCTTTGGGTGCCTCTCTAGCCCGTTGCAGTGTCCCAACCACCACACCCCATCCACCCGTACAGGGTGGACAACTAAATAATTAATCACTTTCGGCGCCTTACGCAATCACATTACTTATTCCAGCCCATTGCTTTTTTCTGTTGTGCCCATTTTCTAAAAATACGCCTTCAACCAGCATAACTAACCTTTTGGCTTTTGTATTTACTCTTTATTCTCACCAACTCTCATCTGCAAACCTTCGGCTTCTTGTAGAAAAAAGAAGCGCTTTCTTTTACTGCTTCTCCTCCTCCACCCGAAATGCTTGTTTTGGTTATCAAAGTTAGTACGTTTTGATGTGTTAACAGCTCTGTCAAGTAGCAATTTATCCCTTCATTGTAATTACCGCTGTTGAGGGTATTTGTTGGGTACTCGCCTTTCATTTTGTGTTCGAATTTACCCAGAAAATCTATCCATTCCACTCACATGAAGTGAGCACAACTGTGCCACTCTTTTTGGCATTGCAGATCGTAATGAGTGTTGGAAATTTTATGATCCACCAGTTGTTACTTCTTCATGCTTCGTGTCCTCCTTGTCCTTTGTACGATCGACCTAGTTTTTCATTATTTATTTTTGAAGTACCTCCCAGTGGTTATGTGTCTTAATATTTGAATGCGACTTTACGCGTTTTTATTTCACTTAAATTTTATGTTTGGCTTTCCATTAATGAATTTCGCCACGCCTGGTGTATCACTCTCATTACTGACGTCAAAACTCAACGTCACTTTATGCTGTCGATGTAAATTGGTCAGTTTTATTAAAAAAAAAATTGGTTCCGATAGGCTGCTGTTCATTTCCAGTCTTACTTGAGCTTTTAACAAAAACCTCTTACCCCGCAATTGCAAGTAAAATGATTATCGGTGGAAATTGCCAAGTTCGCGGCGTCGGTTTACGAAGTTCTTACTTGGACGCCGGAAATCCCCTCGATTACTGAAAACTGCAGGCTGCTAATCATTTGCCCTCTGATAAGAATTGTGCTTCCTCCAATTTTATTAAAACATGCCTTCGTCTTCCTTTTGCTTTGGAGTCACTTTTTTCGAGGTTACATCGTGCATAACCTCTCGCTACCTCAATGTCCATTTCAATGTAACTTCTCCGAAAGTGTTCCATTTTTTAACGCCTTAATAATCGCTCTGACTTTAAGCAAAGACTTGTTTTTGAATGTCTCTTACAAAATCTTTCTGTCTTCCACCTCAATTTAACCGTTGCAGATGTGGTCACATCACTTTTGCTCACGGAATTTCTACAATAAATAAATTGTGCCTTTAAAATGGACATCCACATTATTTGCAAAAATTCACTCTTTTGCTTGTTGGAAGGGAAGTTTAAATGTGTGCCATATTGGCCGGCCGTGGTCCTTTTTTCTCCCAAAAATCGGAGAGTGAATCAGTGTCCGTGTTAGCACTTCAACTTTGTTCTGTGCTCTCCTGGAGGTCGGTGCCCAACGGTGGATGTCATTGGCAGTCTTGATATTATCGAAGCCTATGTTTAGCACTTTTCACTGATTACAATGCGATGCACATGTGCGAAATTTGGTCTGGCACAGGGACGCATACCTTCCATTCTTCACTTTTAGCGCCTTCCTTTTGACAGTAGCAGATGGGTTTTCAAGGGTTTTGTGTCCGCCCTTCCGATAACACCGATCAAAAGCCTTGGGTCTGCTGGAGAAGCTGCCCTTTTATAAATAAAGGTCATTTTAGAATGGCAATTTGATTAGTCAATCCGATTTGACAAAGCAATGCGTTGGAATTACTGCTGTATTATTATTATTATTTTTTTTGTCTGAATCTGTTCTACGTGACCGAAGTCCGGGTATTTTTAAGGCGCACCTTTGGGTATGGCAAATGCACAGTACTTTTCTCACGGCTGCATGATTTACAGTAGATTTTGTACACCTGTGATCATAGTGTCATTTTTTGACGTCAATCATCCAATGCAATTGGTGACACCAAATTTTTTTGCATATGCTCTCTGGTTTTTGCTCAGGTGATGCTTCTAACCGTGGTTGTAGAACCAACGCATATGCATGCTCGCATTGTGCGAGTTTTCATTATTTGCTAAAAATAAAGACTACTGTTGGCCAGTGGCTTCAGGTCATTCGTTACAGCTGTTGTCAATGCTGTCTTGTAAGTTCTCCATTTGGCGTGGGAGCTACTTTCCCACTGATTTCTTGACATTTAAAACAGAAACAAAACTTCAAGACGAGTGTTAGAAAGCCTTCCTCCGCACTGTCCCAGTCGTCCAAAGTTACTACCATCACAATAAGTTGATTTATCCCAATTTTTTTTCCCGTCGTACATTCGACGTAGCAGCAATAAGCCACCTGCTTGTAATTACGCGGGCTCCCTTTTGAGCGCATCAAAGTGAAGTGTGAGCGTACTGATCTGCAATGCTTTTGGAATGGCACAGGTCATAAGCATGTCAGTTTTGGCGTATGTTGACATCGATCGGCTAAACGCTGAGCTTGAGAACGATGGTGTAAATTTGTAATGAAATAAACAAGAACTGCCTCTCGAACACAGCAAATTCTTTGCAATTCTCGACCTATCTCCAAAGGCACTCTGTCTCTTCCCAATTCTATCAGACGGCCAACTAATCGCTTCGGTGATGTGACGGCATGGTTGTAGGATCGCCTGAAAATGACAACAAATTCTATCATTTAGCAACTTACTGTATGAGCGTAGTACAAATTACTGCACTTCATCGGCTGACCGACCTAGTCATTCTTTTGTCCTATTTCCCCCACACAGATTTGTGATTTCGGTCTAGCTCGGCTGAATGATCCAATGCATGACCACAACGGAATGTTGACAGAGTATGTGGCTACACGGTGGTATCGTGCGCCCGAGATCATGTTAAACTCCAAGGGTTACACGCACGCCATCGACGTCTGGTCGGTTGGTTGCATCTTCGCCGAGATGCTTGATCGTCAACCACTCTTCCCCGGAAAGCACTGTATGTTGCGCTTTGTCACTTCCTCTTTCTCTGTTCTCACATCATCTAGACCACTTTCATTCGCCATTTAGATGTCGATCAATTGACACTCATTCTTCAAGTACTGGGCTATCCCGCCGAGGGTGACAGGGAGTGGATTGTCAATACAAAGGTTAGTCATCGTTTCACTAGTTCAGCCTTGCGGAGCCATCAAATAACGGTGATCGCCACTGCACTGTTACTAACAGTCGAATGAATATGCGTGGTCTTGGTTCATTTTACCCTTATCGTTTCAAGATAATGCAATCATTCTTTGTATTCAAAATTTTGGTCCATCTCGGCGGCATTTGAAACCATCTCTTATGCCACTCCATTGAGAGTCCATCATAAAGCCCCCCACTCGTTTGATCAGTTGCGCTTGCTTTTGGGAAGCAAATGAATATGGGTAAAGTAGACTTAGCCCTAAAATGCCATTTAGTAGCGGAAACACTTTACACGCCGTGTAAAATATTCATGTAAGTAGGGTAAAGCCATTTGCAATTAGTCTTGATTTTGAAAATAGGCTGTGCTTCGTCTCAGAGTCACGCTAAAGGTGGAATGGAAATTTTGCTTCTTGCTGAATTTGTAAGGTGGCTCTGAGAGGAGGGGAGGGGCGGAGGGAAACATGCAGGGGTGTGAACTACTAAATCAAGTGGACGTTTTTGTGGGATGACTGAGTGCACCACGCAGAAATGTCTGATTTTAGGTAAACTCGGCCTTTATGCTTTGGAGCACTTGACATTCACTTCCATCCTCTTTTATAAAGTGAGGAAAGCAAAATGTTGAGAAACGATAGTGTCTACAATGTGGTGTTTTCTTACTTAATCATTTTGAACAGGAAGAATAATGTAGAGTGTGAACTAGGAAGGAGCCGGAAGTAACTTAGCTTGACATCCTTTGTATTAATTGCATTGAATTTTTTTCAAAATAGGACAGCATACATTTGTTATTTTTACTATGGTTGAGGGAACCCTAAGCTACGATTCCTGTGTGACTTGAGAAAGAGTTTGATTTTTCAGCAGTACTACGAGATCTCAAACAATGGTTACATGTAACATTGAAGGAACAATTTCTCCCATTCTGGAGGTGCAATGGCCTCTGAAAGTACCTCAAATTTGGTACTCATTAATAATTTAGGCGTTCAAATACTAAAATTTCGGCGCTAACCTGAAAACAAATCTTCGTTATGCATTGCCTCCGATTTGTTGGTTACTTTTGGGAAAATTTTTGCCATTTTGTAGTGAGTCTTATCTCTAAGTCGTAATTTCAGCTAAGTAAACCGCAAAGCAATCACGTTTTCTCATTCCACAATTTTTGAAGCAGGAGAACCACCGTTCGAGTGCAACAATTAGCAGGCGATTCGCCATACCAGAGAAACACACCTTTTGCAATGGACTCTCGCGATCATTCAGTAGTTTTGAGCAAGACGATGTCAAACTTAAATGCCAATCAAATGATTTGCTGCTTTCAAGTAAGGGATGCGTTGCGCGATCATCGTGTCAGTCAAAAAGGGTCTGCTGACTGACGCCACTTGAAGTAATGTGTGTGTTTTCGAAAGACGTTGTGCTTGATCACTTAACTTAAACATTAAACGAGGAGCTTAAAAGCGAGTCCACTCTGCCTACGCGATGGATGCATTACGCTCTGGACGCATAAAAATTTAAATTGTTGGGGTACCAAAAGTAACAAATTTTGGGCTAGTTTGGCTACGCAGAAAGTAGTATTTTCCCTCCTTTTTGATTCAACTACCTTCAAAAATTGAATTTAAAGTACCTGTGTTTTGTTGTATGTCACATTACCCACATTGTTAGTGGAAAAACTGTTTCCAGTGATTCTTGAAAAGTGTGATTTCGGTAGTCCCTTTCGGCTCCAACTGAAGTCATTAGGAGTAACTTATTTACATTTGTCGCCAGTTTTTCTGTGCTCGCACCTGCGATTCTAACCAATTGCTAAAATACACTTTTTTTTTGAACCAAGCGCAGAAACGGTGCATACCGCGAACCGTATCGGACTTTCCAACACTACTTTGAATAGGTTACAAGTATTTTCCGTGTTTTTGAACTCCCAGGTTTGTGGTTATCTACATCGCTAGCCGGTGTCACAACATGCGAAATTGTCAAGTAGGATTGGTGCTACCTAGGTCACAGTTGAGTGGCATTATCAGGGCGCCTTTGAGGCTCTGCACTGTCCATCACAGGCTAGTCATCCACCCCATCAACTAGCATGGTGCTTAATGACACCTCAAACACCAACAGTAGTAATAGCAGTACCTTAAATAATGTCTTTCCTTGCCACGCGCCAACCTGACCCTGCACATTTGATCACGTGATCATGGGAAGATCGTATCAACCATGCTCTTTGTTTAACTAGAAATTTTTCACCCCTACTTTTACCTCTCGAGTCCCACTGGGTCCACTCGTGGTGCGACACTTTAAAACGCCTCTCATCGGTGCACGGTGCCCTTCCTTTGTTTATTACTATAGTAGCAACATAATGGCCCTTCCTGCCGTATAGAGGGTGGAATTCAGCTCTTCTCTGAAAATTCATGCTTGTTGTAAAGGCCATTGCCGTTTCCTCTCTCTCTCTCTCTCTCTATCCAGCTTACGGCCCACCTCAATCTCGTTTTAATAGCTCAAGTAGTCGTCTAGATTTGTTCAATTTTTTTTCTAAAAATGGGTGAGATCACAACATGCGATGCCTGACAC